ATTTGTAGGGTCTTTAGCAGTTGGGGGGAAACCGGAGGACCAGGAGAAAAACCCAGCAGGTTGGACATGCGACCCTACACCTTGTCATGTATAACCCGGGGAATCAAAACCATGCTAGTTGACTCAATGACAGACCTTATGATACAAAGCGCATGTGCTAACCTTTCGGCCATCAACACCACCCCGTCCCTCAATGCTAGGATTTAAGTGGATTAAAAATAGGCCCATAAAAATAGGCCCACCAATTAGAAATGGTGGAGAACCAATTACATAGGACACAGTAAAGATCGAAGAAATTTCAATTCACCATACCTTTGTAAATATTCAACGGAATTGAACCATTTTTGAACTGATATTCGTATTAGATATTCAACATTTAGAATACTATAGTGGTCAAGGGATTCCTATATCGCTCAAATTTTTTAACTTACTTTAAATTCTGGGAACTTGATAACATGTCTAGCAAATATTCTAGCTGGACAACTCTTCTTCTTACTTTCACGACTCAAGGTACCTCGTATTTTACAAAAATTATGATCACTTTTCTGAAAAAATAAAACGAGAGATAAAAGATCTACTTTTCATTTTTCAGAAAATACAAAAATTTTCCACTTCAGAAATATAGCAAAATTGGTTATTTTACATCAAGAAAACAAAATGGCAAGTTAAGATAATTCTCCAGGTTGGATAATGAGGGAAATTTTGCCCAGACAGTGGCGCTATGACCTACTCTTATATCGAATTCCAACTGCCAAGGGATTTTTTACATGCATGTCAATTCATCCCATTCAAACGACTAGACACTGTCCTTGTCAGGATCTGCATCCTGCATCACTGACAGGCGGAACCACGCTGGAATATCTTAATGAACTTTTATGACCAACACAAGGACTTAACTCACCTTACTCACTGAGCCACCTTGGTTACCAGGATTAAAAAGAGACCCATCAAAATATTTGAATGAGTAAGGCACTGCCTTCGCTAACCAGGAGATCTTGTGTATGACCCCAGTGTTGGCTGGGACAGTTCCTTAGGATTTTTCCATTGTCAGTTTTGCAGGACGGAGGGCCTAACAAGGAACCAGGGTGGTTGAATGGTTGGCACGTGCGCGCTGTATCATAAAGTCTGTCATTGAGTCAACTGGCGTGGTTTCCATTCCCCAGTTGTATGTGACGAGGAGTAGGGTTGCATGTCCAACCTTGTGGGTTTTCTCCGGGTCCTCCGGTTTCCTCTCACTGCTAAAGACCATGTGTTAGTCCCGAAATGACCTAGTTTGTGTCGGGTGGACGTTAAACCCCATTTCTCTCTCTCTCTCCCCTAACAAGGAACCACATTTCTATTCTATGTTCGGATATAACTGTAGGTCGTAAAAGCGACGCAATTCAGGCATAATTACCCTCTCACCCCCCACTGCATGGTGTATGTTCGTGTTCATTAGATCAGCGTAAATTATTTCTATAGCCATGAAGACAAAAAGAAAACTGACCAATAAAAATACTGAAATTAAAAAGCAAACTGAATAAAGAAATGAAATCTGGGGTTAGGTTATTGTCCCTTTTTTCTGCAGACGAGGAGAACACACCATGCATAGCTGCAACATTGTAGTGCCATCTGTCTTGTCCCCTGCTACAATCGATCTATTCTTCGAGGCTTTGTGCAAGTAAAGATAGCACGAAAATACCGGTAAGTAATTCTGTTACAAATAGTGAAGAGCGACCACCGAAATAGTAACCTTTTCAAGGTGACGTTTAATCATGTGCAAGTTAAAATAGCACAGAAACACGAGTAAGTAATTCTGTTACAAATAGTAAGAGTGACCACTGAAATAGTTATCGTTCTAATTTTGGTTTGGTAGCCATTTTAAAACTGAGAGAAATATCTTGTTGCCGTTGGATTTGATCAAACACAAATTTATGTGGTAAGTTTTCTCATTTATTTTAATGAGAATTAGTTTATTATATGTTAAGCTATGTGCAGTAGAATTTGGGGTCAGTTTAATAAGGCCAATAACTTTTTTGTAAACAAACGGTTACAAAACTTGCGTAAAGGAAGTCTCCTAGAACCATCCACTATTGTGGATGGAGGGAAGAAAGAGAGAGAGAGAGATGGGGTTTAACGTCCACTCCTTGAAATGGCGCCCCTACTCCTTGTCACATAGAACCGGTGAATCGAAACCACGTCAGTTGACTCAATGACAGACCTTATCACGCGCTGACCATTCGACCACCAAATCTCTCTGGAGGAAAGACATCAGTAGTGGATGGAACAATTTCTAGCGCGATGGCCTACTCTTTTACGTGCACACCTATGAGGTTTATTAAAATAAGTCAGCGCTATACGCACTGAACCATCATATGGCTCCCATACAATAAATAAGAAATAAACATATCAAAAGTCAATACAAACACTGAATAAATCCTTGCGTAGTCGGGCTTGAACTTTCTTTTTAATATCGCGATCTTTTCCCTGATGACATTCCCAGATCTTTTTGCCGATTATTACGAAAGGTACGCCATCGTATTTAATAAAGGGACACGTGTTAGTTTGGGTATCTTGAAATCGTATATTAACTGACTTTAAAGATGAAATATCTGAAAAAGAAATTAATAGCAGAGATTAGTGTAACCCTTTAGCGACTGAAAATGAAATGAAATGGGGTTTAACGTCCTACTGTTCTGTACTGACTGGGCTAGTGAAGACGGGAGGAAAAATCATGAAATTTCTTAAACCCGAGACCTCATGGTTGGTGAGCCAGTGAAAAAGTCACTGAACCATATGGTGGCTCCCCTTTGATAGTGTATTGAAGTTGTTGGTCATTGTCGTGTCTGTTGCAGTTGGACCTTAAACCAAGTCAGTAAAATTCTTAACACAAGAACTGGTTTAAGCATTCTTTTTCTTTTTTTTTGCAAAAATAAAACTTACCGATTTCATTTTCTTTTCCGAATAGTTTTTCTTTTTTAATACATACAAAACGTGATGCTGTTTCTGCTTCGTAGCGCTGTATCGCTAGGTCTAATAACTCCAGGGAATTTACATCTTTAGTGTCATCGCTGCAACAAGTTAAAATAAGAGGTAATAGTTTTGTTTTTTTATATTTTATTCAGGATATCTGCATGGGATTGGGAAATGAGAGAAAGAGAGAGAGAGAGAGGTGGGGTTTAACCTCCACTCGACACAGACTAGGTCATTTTGGGACTAACATGAGAGAGAGAGAGTGTGTTTAACGTCCACTGGACACAAACTAGGTCATTTCAGGACTAACATATGGTTCAATTTTATTTCAATAATTTGCTTGCGAGTAGGGGTCTTTAGCAGTGGGGAGAAAACGGAGGACCCGGAGAAAACCAACTAGGTTGGACAGCTGACCCTACTCCTTGTCACATACATCCGGGGAATCAAAACGACGCCAGTTGACTCAATGACAGACCTTATGATACAGTGTGCACATGCTAACCATTCGGCCATCCAACCCCCCAATTGGGAAATGAAATAGGGTTTAATGTCCTACTGTTCTGCTCTGACAGGTCTAATGAAGACAGGCGTACAGTGTGCTAAGAGGTAAATTTTGCCCGTATAGCGGCAATTAGGCCAGCTCTTATATCGAATTCCAACTGCCAAGTGATCTTTACATGTACGACAGTATGTACACGGGTCCTCGGTTTTAAATCCCATCCAAAGGACCAGACAGCTGTCTTTGTCAGACCCTCCATACTGCACCACTGACAAGGGGAAACCACGCCGGAAAATCCAATTGACTTTACGTTGTCCCTGGTCTAGTCTTATAATAATTTTGGGGAGTCTTACGAAATTCAAAAATTAAATTTTTTGAGCCATATAAGGCTCACCATGACTACCTGGTGATATATATATATACTTACTTGTTACCGTTACTTTTCTTCGACATCATAAATATATATTCAAATACATCATTTATTACGGCCTGATAATATTGTCATTGAAAAAGCATCAAGTACGATAGGCATTATCAATTTTGCCTTTGATATCCATTTATTACGACAGATGAATATTTTCCCATGTATTTATATGATGTTGCGGCCTGATACTATTGTCATTGAAAAAGCGTAAACGATAGACATTTACACTTTTTACCCAATTTTGTACCAGTATTATTATAAATTTTTCTTTGCACCTGGAAATTTGTTCATAGATCTGTGCCTCTGTGGCTTTGAAAAACTGTGAAATACAATATGGTCATAGATCAGAAAAGGTTTGAATTTATGATAAAATGAATGTAAACAGGCATGGGGTTTCACTGTTCTACACTGACTGGGCTAATGGAAACGTGCATTCCCCATACAGTGTGCTAATACTGCTATAGACTAACGAGTAACGGAAATTTGGCACAGACAGCGGCGCTATTTGGCCTTCTCTTTGTATTAAATTCCATCTGTACCTAGTTTTATTGTTCCATCTGAATGACTATATATTGTTCCCTGCAGGCCATCCGTCCTGCACCACCGACAAGGGGGAACCACCCCGAAAAATCAATGTAAACAAACACGCACGTACAGGCATTTTCACTTTTTTGCAGGTATTTGAGGTGATTAAATAAAAGTGCTGAAAAATAGGATAATCTAAATTTTTGGGACTATTTAATGCTAGATAAACTCCTGTGAACTTTACATGAAATGGTAACCCTTACTAAGTTTGTAAAACCAATATTTCATTTTGGTTACTGTCAAACTATGTCAATTTTCAGACTTTTGCAACTGAGGTCTTTTTTTACCTCAAACGATGAAGAGCTCCTAAGGGACATGTTTGTTTCGTTTCTGCAAATCTAAATCAAGTAAAATATTTTGATACAAAAGACAATATCCGTATCAAGAAAAACAGCAGTCACCATAATATTAGGTTTTGTGATTATCTGATAGAAATGACAAACCACAGGTTAGAAGAAACTTAGAAATGTAGAAATAAAGAAATAGTAATGTAATGTTTAATCAAACGCTACCCAATAGTCTTTGTCAACCAGGTGTAATATTGAAACGTCGAGTTATAGAGCTTGAAGCAATGTTTTGGATGCTACAACCAAAATTTCCGTAAAACTGGGGTTTGTTGTTTAAGGTTAGTGTTTGTGTTATAATTAAAACTTAATGATCTTTGTCGGTCGGTTTCAAGAATTCATTCAACTGTCTCGACTTTGCCTATAATCAACATTGAAAAATAGAATATTGTGAACACTGATATCGACTGGGCTGTCTCACTGCTTGTGAGAACAGCCATTATGTGGATTAATATTATTGTGAAAGACGGATCTCCATTAGGCATACCAGAGAGAGAGAGAAATGGGGTTTAATGTCCAATCGACACAAACTAGGTCATTTCGGGATTAACACATGGTTCAGTTTTATTTCAATAATTCGTTTGTGCGTAGGGTTCTTTAATTAGCAGTGGGAGGTCTGTCAATTCCCCAGTTGTACGTGACAAGGAGTAGGGTCGCCTGTCCAAATTCATGGGTTTTCTCTGGGTCCTCCAGTTTCCTCCCACTGCTAAAGACGCCTACGCACAAACGAATTATTGAAATAAAACTAAACCATGTGTTAGGCCCAAAATGACCTAGTTTGTGTCGAGTAGACATTAGACTCTCTCTCTCTCTCTCTCTCTCTCTCTTTCTCTCTACCTTGATGCCAATAAGAGAGAGAGAGAGAAATGGGGTATAACGTCCACTTGACACAACTAGGTCATTTAGGGACTAACATATGGTTTAATTTTATTTCAATAATTCGCTTGCGCATAGAGGTCTTTAGCAGTGGGAGGAAACAGGAGGACCCGGAGAAAACCCACGAGGTTGGACAGGCGACTCTACTCCTTGTCATGTACAACCGGGGAATGGAAACCACGCCAGTCGACTCAATGACAGACTTGATGCCAATAAATATGTTAACTTATTAAACTTCTATAACAAGAATTGATATCAGGTGATATGGGACAAAGTGCTCCATAACCTGTACTACATTAAGATTACATTGTATACATGTAAAGTATTTATTTAAATGCATAGAACCAATTTGAACCCCACATGTGTGAACCCATTGAACCACATACATAATTGATTTACGATATAAGCTATACTGTCCACTACACGTTCACTACATATATACACATATTTAATTATGGACGTAATAGTTCCCACATGTAGTGATCATGCTCTTGATTAAATAGAACTTGCACAGTTAGCTTTATTAGGGGCATATAAGACCCTGTGCGCTTTCTGTAGTTATAAGAGATGGTTGGAGGAAGACTTTGCTTAGAGGAGAAGAGGAGCATATGTACTCACCCGAGTTTAGCCGCTGCCATGGCAGAGAGGCGGAATGGTTGTCTATTAATGTACCGTGTTAATGTTATTGTTTCCTGGTGTAGTTTAGTTCCTGTTTAATTGATGTTACTGTTGTATTTACATGTATGTAGTTGTTTCATATTTAAGTTCCTAATATAAATAAATCACATATTTACGAAATTGATCTCTGTTATTACTATAATAGTGTTACATATATATACTCTTGATGGCTGAATGGTTTAATGCATGCTCGTTTGATCACAAGGTCCTTGAGTCAAGTAGCATGGTTTCCATTCCCCACTCGTAGCTGATAAAGAGTAGGGTCGCCTGTCTAAACGCATGGGTTTTCTCCAGGTCCTCCTGTTTCCTCCTACAGCTAAAGACCCCTACATGTATATGCAAGAAATTTGTTGAAATAAAATTTTAACGAAAATATTAGTCCCAAAATGACCTAGTTTGTAGCAACTGAAAGTTAAACTCTCTCGTACATTTAAAAGATCCCTTGGCAGTTAGAATTCGATAAAAGAGTAGGCTTAGGCCGTAGCGCCACTGTCTGGGCAAAATTTCCCTCATAGCACACTGTATGGCGCATGCCCGTCTTCATTAGCCCAATATAGGAGCAGAACAGTAGGATGTTGAACCCCATTTCATTTCATTTTCACCTTGTGGGTTGGATGACTGAATGGTTAGCTTGTGCGTGCTGTATCATAAAGTCTGTCATTGTGTCAACTGGAGTGGTTTCGATTCCCCGGTTGTACGTGACAAGGAGTAGGTTCGCCTGTCCAACCGCGTGGGTTTTCTCCGGGTCATCTGGTTTCCTCCCACTGCTGAAGACTCCTACGCGCAAGCGAATTATTGAAATAAAATTAAAACCATATGTTAGTCGTGAAACGACCTAGTCTGTGTCGAGTGGACATTAAACTCTCTCTCTCTCGCTCTCTCTCTCTCTCTGTGTTGCCGAGAAAGTTTCTCAGGATTTTCTGACATGGTTTCCCTTTCTCAGTGGAGCAGGTCGGAGGACCTGGCAATGACTAGCATCTATTCATTCGGATGGTATGAAAAAAACAATGTTCCGATGGACACCTGGAATGACTTGCATGTGTAAAAGAACCCTTTGGAATTCAACTGATGTCCAGACAAAATTCCCCTCATAGTGAACAAGTCATAGCTCAGTTGGAGCAGAAAAGTAGGACGTTTAACTGAAATTTTCAATATATTTATTTTTTATTATCTATTTTTGAAAGGTCAGCTCTTTATCTAATATTATATCCCTATGTTCACAATTCATGTCTTTAATTTATCTTGTGACTTGTCTTATCAGATGTTTTATATAATATGTTATTCATTTATCTGCTTTTTATCTACTAACACTGTAACCCAGGTATCATTTAATCTTGTATATTTAGCACTAATTTCTTTTACATTCGTTTAATATCAAATATTTATTTAAAACTTCGTAAAAATCATTTAAAATCACCAAAAATCATCTAATTTGTACTTGTGTCCATTTTAAAGCTGACTGATTAATTTTGATAATGAGTGTCCAATTTACAAGTATTTAATTTCCTGACCACTGTTCAAAAATTAATCATTATACATAATTAATCAATTGGGTTGTTTATTTTTTAACAGTGATCGAGAAATTAAACACTTACCAAAATTAATAAGTCAACTTTCAACTGGACACAAGTACAAATTAAACGATTTATGGTGATTTTAAACAGTTTTTCCGAAATTTTAAACAAAGATTGGATATTAAATGAATGTGAAAGAAATTAGTGCTAGATACACAAGATTAAATGATACCTGGGTTACAGTGTAAGCTTCATATGATAAAGGGTCTTTTAACCCGAAACATTATAAAGATGAAAAAACACCTCTCATTTCAACTTAAAGATACATTATGTAAGATTTAGATAAAGAGCTAGGCATTCTTGCTAAAATAGTTAGAAAATAGATAATGTAAAATGTATAATTTGAAAATTTCATTCAATTTAGTCTATTGCGATTGAAGATAATATAGCCTTTGAAGGTTTGACAAGACGTGTGCAATAATTTCAACAGTGGTAACCAGGGCACTGGTATATATTCCCATATTTAAATTAAATTTTTAAATGGTGAACCGTTCTAATCTAGTTAAAATCTTGGGTATCCGAAGGCATCGAGAGTTGATTATGGTCTTTTCATGTTAATTAATGTCTATATAATATTTATTGTCTAATTCATAAACAGTTTATATAATATTTAAGGCTTAAAGAAAGACCTGCAATACAGTAGGCAGATTTAAGAGAGTGTTGCGATTCCCATCCTCACTTCGGAGGGCCTGACAAGGACAGCTGTCTAGTCCTTCGGATGAGACGAAAAACTGAGGTCCCGTGTATACATTGGAATGCACGTAAAAGATCCCTTGGCAGTTGGAATTCGATATAATAGTAGGCGATAGTGCCGCTGCCCGGGCAAAATTTCCCTCATAGCACACTGTATGGCGTATGCCCGTCTTCATTAGCCCAGTATAGAAGCAGAACAGTAGGACGTTAAACCCCATTTCATTTCATTTCGTTTTCCCATCCTCACTTCCTATTTATTATAATCATACAGTTATGATGTTGTCCTTTGATCATAGGGTGCCTTTACATGACAGTTGTAATTCAATTAATGTCCATTCAAAATTTATCTCATAGCTCATTGTCTTCATTAGCCCAGTCGGCCCATTCATTCATTCATTCATTCATTCATTCCATTAAATAGGGGTACCCACACTTTGCCAATGGCACATTATGTGTAACAGATGGTGGATCTCTGTATTGTAATTTGTTTAAAGGACAGACAATATCAAAATGTCCACAGCTAAAATTTTGTATATTTTTTAAAAGAAAATATGACATTTTCCAAGGCTTAGTCCAAGCTAGAATGTACTCTAACTGATTATATGACATTTAATTAATGTAATTAAATTGTTGCTTCTGACCATATCCCTCTGAGGACCTAGCGAGGGACAGCGTCATCCAGATGTGACGAAAAAAATAAGGTCCTGTATTTGGAGTGAATTGCTGTTATTGGGCCAGAATTCCTTCCATGAATTTCATCTCATAGCATAGTGCATGGCCTATGCCGGTCTTTGTCCACAGAGGGGTGGGTGGGGTGAGTGGTAAGGGGGTGGTGGGGGGACAGGATGTGTGTGTGGGGGGGGCATGTGGATGTGGTCTTGTGGTTTAACACTTGCATGTTAGAAAATAACGTCTGTACACTTGTACGTGCAAGCGAATTATTGAAATAAGATTAAACCATCTGTTAGTCTCGAAATGATCTACTCTTGAGTGGATGGTAAACCCCATTTGTCCCTCTCTCATTAGCCTGGATGGAGTAAAACAGTAGGACGTTAAATCCGATTGAATTTTATTTGTCATTAATCGATGTCATTCAAGTATTTGTGTACAGTGACCATGAACTAAAGTGTATTTGAAGTGGTGGGTTCAAAGGTCAATAGTTTGTTCCATTTATTTATGCAACAAGTATAGTAGTTCATCCCGGTTCATTAAGCAGTTGTAATTCATTGTAAATAGTTAACTATAAGGGGCAGTCTCTGTAATACTGGTTCAATATGTTGGGAATACAAGCCTTTAATAACAACACCATGCTACAGAGAGAGATGGAGAGAGACAGACAGACAGACAGACAGAGACAGAGAGAGTTTAACATCCACTTGTTAGGAGCAGAAAAGTGTATTTTTTGTACCATCCAAACGACCAGACACTGTTTCTGTACCTCTGACTAGGGGTCACCACAATGAAAAAATCCTGGGGAACTGCATACCTCAGCCAATACCAGGGTCGAACTTGGGACCTCACTGAACCACCGTGGCGAAATGAAATGAAATGAAATGGGGTTTAACGTCCTACTGTTCTGCTCCTAACCTGGGCTAATGAAGACGGGCATACGCCATACAGTGTGCTATGAGGGAAATTTTGCCCGGACAGCGGCACTACGGCCTACTCTTATATCGAATTCCAACTGCCAAGGGATCTTTTACGTGCACGCCAATTTGTACACGGGACCTCGGTTTTTCGTCCCATCCGAACGACTAGACAGCTTTCCTTGTCAGCCCCTCCGTCCTGCATCATTGACAAGGGAGAACCACGCCGGAAAATCTGGATGAACTTTCTCGGCCAATGCAGGGATCGAACACCCAACCTCCAGGCTAGCGAGCTAGCGTCTTACCCACTTAGCCACGTGATCCCCGAACCACCGTGGCTCCCTAGCACAAATTATAAAATGTTAATACAATCTGACTAAAATACAGATCTATATTTCGTTTCTTTTTTTATAATTTCGATGACCTACACTACATGAAGACCTGACAAGTTGTAGCAATAGGTCGCGTCAGAGGTCATACAAGTGGCTTTTGACCCTATGATGTCAGACATTTGATTAACCAATCAGCATTGATATTACTAGTGGATTACCCACAGTTCCGTGCAAAACACGCCTAAAGCTAGCTGTAACAGACTGTTTCATTGGCTAATTCCTCACACCATTCAGAACACGTCAATGATAACAACTCTTCCAGATCCTAGTGTAGTAAAGACAAGTAAAACGAAATTTTGAACTATAAAACAAACGAAATAGGATCTGTGTTTTAATAAGATTGATGTTAATACAACTAAAAATCATTATTTTCAAGTCTGATTGTCTGCTGTGGGGGGTTGGATAGCTGAATGGTTAGCGTGTGCGCGCTGTATCATAAAGTCTGTCATTGAGTCGACTGGCGTGGTTTCGAATCCCCGGCTGTACGTGACAAGGAGTAGGGTTGCCTGTCCAAACTCGTGGGTTTTCTCCGGGTCCTCCGGTTTCCTCCCACTGCTAAAGACCCCTACGCGCAAGCGAATTATGGAAATAAAATTGAACCATATGTTAGTCCCGAAATGACCTAGTTTGTGTCAAGTGGACATTAAACCCCATCTCTCTCTCTCTCCCCCCCTCTCTCTCTCTCTCTCTCTCCCTCTCCCTCTCTCTCTCTCTCTCTCTCTCTCTCATATCAGATAAAACTATTAAAATGAAACCATCACTTTGAATGAAGATAATTGTTTGTCATTTTATTAAAGTCATATGATCGACTCAATAAATATAATTACAACTCACATGTTGTGTCAGTTATTAATAGTATAAATATATTACTTTTATTCATAGCACACTGTATGGCGTATGTCCCTCTTCATCAGGCCAGTCAGAGCAGAACAGTAGGAAGTTAAACTCCATTTCATTTCCTTTTATGATATACTATTTTGTTCATTTACAGAGGGATATAAGTGTGTATAGTGAAATATGAATGATGCATTAAGTTTCTCAACAAATAGGTATGTACTATTACCAATTATCAGATAAATTCCTATATAAGAAAATTAAACATACATTATGCAAGAGATAAATCTGCTAATTGCAGGTCTTTCTTTAGGTCTGAAATGTTCTATAAACTATTAAACATACATTATGCAAGAGCTAAATCTGCCTATTGTAGGTCTTTCCTTAGGCCTGAAATGTTATATAAACTATTAATTAGACATTGATTAACTTATCCAAACCTTAATCAACTCTCGAAGCCATCTTATGTGTCAGAATTTTCACTGGATTTGAATCCGATCTGCTGCTCAACACTCAGTGATGATTAAATCCAAAAATGGATAATCGAGACTACGTTTTTTTATCGTACCGACTTTAGTAATGATGATCGAGGCTAGGCCTAAAATTCAATTGCTAATATCTCTGTTCAGAGTGGAGCAATTTGACTGAAATTTTCAGCATATTCCCTTTACATTATCTAGTTTTTACCTATTATAGTGAGAACTGCCAGCTCTTTATCTAATCTTCCACAATGCCCCTTTAAAAAAAACAATGTAGCTGGATAAAAAAGGTTATCTGTTTGATTTAGGGTGGTTGGGTGGTCTTGGGTGGTTGGGTGCGCGTGAAATCATAAGGTCTGTCACTGAGTCAATTGGGATGGTTTCAAAACCCCGGTTGATTGTGACGAGGAGTAAGGTCGTCTGGCAAACTTTGTGGATTTTTTCTGGGTCATCCGGTTTCCTGCCACTGCTAAAGACTATTACCCACAACGCGAATTAATCAGGGGCCTTAGGAATATTTTAAGAACCATCTTACTGTTTCTTATTGTCCCCCGCCTTTCGAAGAAAGCAGGGAACTATTAAAATGGGTCTGTCCATCCGTCTGTCTGTCATCTAATTGAGCTAGGATGTTCACACTTGGTGGAGGTGTTTATTAGGTGAATGCCTTGATGGAGTTCGAAGATGAGCATTTTTTGCATAGGGTAAGCAGAGATTAGCAATTTGATTGGTTGATGCTTTTGGGCACGATAACTTTAGTTATTATTAAGTGAGAAGTATCTGATAGAGAGTGATGAAACTTAGTGTATAGTTGATAATCAGTTTGATTGCTTGATACTTTTGACAAAAATAAATGTGCAATTAGTTAATATGTGTCATCTATTTATTTCGGAATTTCGGCAGGCGACCTCAGCCTCACTGTTGGCTTGTTGATTATTGGGGTTTTTTTTTTATCCCTTTGTTCTCGATAGCATAGAGTGTATTCTGTGATTCATATGAGGATACCACAGCATGAAATATGTTATATACACACAGCAAATCCGGCTTCTGAAACAAGTATCGCTACTGACCTTGATATTAATGAAATGAAATGAAATGGGGTTTAACGTCCTACTGTTCTGCTCCTATACTGGGCTAATGAAGACGGGCATACGCCATACAGTGTGCTATGAGGGAAATTTTGCCCGGGCAGCGGCACTATCGCCTACTCTTATATCGAATTCCAACTGCCAAGGGATCTTTTACGTGCATTCCAATATATACATGGGACCTCGGTTTTCCGTCTCATCCGAAGGACTAGACAGCTGTCCTTGTCAGGCCCTCCGATCTGCACCACTAACAAGGGGAAACCACGTCGGAAAATCTGGATGAACTTTCTCGGCCAATGCAGAGATCGAACACCCGACCTCCAGGCTAGCGAGCCAGCTTCTTAACCACCCAGCCACCGTGGCTCCCATAATTTATATACATGTAACATTTGTGGCCAAAATAAAGACCTGCAATAGGCAGGTAAATTTAATTTTCCACGGTTGTATGTGACAAGGAGTAGGGATGCCTGTCCAACCTCGTGGGTTTTCTGCGGGTCCGCCTGTTTCCTCCCACTGCTATAGACCCCTATGCGCAAGCGAATTATTGAAATAAAGTCGATCCATATGTTAGTCCCAAAATGACCTGTCTTGTGTCAAGTGGACGTTAAACCCCATTTCTCTCTCTCATAAACTTAATTAAAGACCTTAACTTATGAACTTAACTGACTTATTTTCAGAACTTAACTTATGAACATAAAGACCTTAGTTTAGCTTGAAAGTTTGTTTTTGTGTTTTCCTTTAAGGTCAAAATGATTGAACGTCACTGATTTGGGATCTGTCCAACAAATGATTGAGATTTGATTTTCGAGGAAGATAATAAAAGTTTGAGATGATAACATAGAAATTATACAGCATCTTTAATAAACAAAATGGCTGAATCTGAAGATGAGAAACAACCTCTATTGGATAGAAACAACAGAGATGCAGAGAATGTCGAAAATACGCGAGCTAGCGGAGGATTTGAGATTACTCCAGGGCAGATTAGTATTGATCAAACAACAGATTCGGTAATTTATATTAATTTATATTTATTTCTGACATCAATATTCTAAGGTCTGTGTTGATCGTGTGGATTCACTTCCTGCTAAACACCGACATAAATGAAATGAATAGAGCTTTAAAATGTCCTACTTTTCAGCACCTATGGGACAAATTAGCTATGCAGTATGGTATGTAGTGTGCTATGCTTTGTGCTGTGCTGTATAGTATGCAGTATGCTATACAGTATGGTATGTAGTAAGCTATACAGTATGGTATGCAGTAAGCTATGCATTGTGCTGTGCAGTATGGTATGCAGTATGCCATACAATATGCTATGCAGTGAGCTATGCCGTATGCTATGCAGTATACTATGCAGTATGTGATGCAGTATGCTATGCAGTATGCTATACAGTATGTTATCAGAGAAATTTTGCCCAGAAAGTGGCATTTCCTCCAACTGTCAAGGATTCATTTACGTACACAGGACCTCGGTTTTTCAACCCATTAGAATGACTAGACACTGTTGCTTTCCAGACCCTCCATTCTGCACCACTGACAAAAGGAAACAATGTCCGAATATCCTCAGGAACTTTCTCAGCCAACCCCAAAATTGAATCCGAGTTAGTGAGCCAGCCACCCTTACAAGATAAACTTACTGTGTTAGTCTCAAGATAACCCTAATTCTATTCTTATTTCAAATATTCATAATTGTGTCATGGTTTTTCTTTGTATTGTAGAGTCAATTTAGTTTTCGCAAATTATGGATGTTTACTGGACCGGGGTTTCTGATGAGTATCGCCTATCTTGATCCTGGTAATATAGAATCTGATCTTCAGACAGGCGCTCTTGCTAAATACAAAGTACGTACATATTAGGGTTATACAGCATCTATAGACTGGCGCCATCAGTAAATATAAAGTATGTCCATATTTGGGTTATACAGTATCTACAGACTGGTGCCATCGCTAAATATAAAGTATGTATATATTAGGGTTATACAGCATCTACAGACTGGCGCCATCAGTAAATATAAAGTATGTCCATATTAGGGTCATATAGTATCTACAGACTGGCGCCATCGCTAAATATAAAGTATGTCCATATTTGGGTTATGTAGCATCTACAGACTGGCGCCATCAGTAGATATAAAGTATGTCCATATTAGGGTCATATAGTATCTACAGACTGGCGCCATCGCTAAATATAAAGTATGTCAATATTTGGGTTATGTAGCATCTACAGACTGGCGCCATCAGTAAATATAAAGTATGTCTATATTAGGGTTATACAGTATCTACAGACTGGTGCCATCGCTAAATATAAAGTATGTCTATATTAGGGTTATACAGCATCTACAGACTGGCGCCATCAGTAAATATAAAGTATGTCCATATTAGGGTCATATAGTATCTACAGACTGGCGCCATCGCTAAATGTAAAGTATGTCCATATTAGGGTTATATAGTATCTTCAGATCGGCGCCGTCACTGAATATAAAGTATGTCCATATTAGGGTTATACAGTATCTATAGACTGGCGCCATCAGTAAATATAAAGTATGTCCATATTTGGGTTATATAACATCTACAGAATCTGATCTTCAAACCGGTGCCATAGCTAATTATAAAATGATTCATCTAAATTAAATAATGAGTGTCGGGTTTACAAATGTTTACTTTCTCAAAAGGTGCAGAGTTATTAATTACTAGTTAAAGTAAACGGTTCCATTCATTATATAATCTAGATACGAACCCAATATGTTTTCATCATTCTCTATGAATTTGAACAATTTGCCAAACTTAGAAACTAAACATTAAACATACGTTATGCAAGACCTAAATCTGCCTATCTCAGGTCTTTTTTTAGGCCTGAAATGTTATCTAAACTATTAATTAGACATTGTTTAACTTATCCAGACCATAATCAACTCTCGATGACATAGCTAGCCTACGATATTTACTGGATTAGGTTCCGATTTGCTGTTTGACTTCCATTCATAATTAAATTATGAAATGGATAATCGAGACTATGTTTTTTATCCTACCAACTTTAGTAATGATGATCAAGGCTAGGCTGAAAATTAAATCGCTAAAATCTTGGTTCATAGTGGCTCAATTTGACAGAAATTTTCAGCAAATTGCCTTTACATTATCTAGTTTTTAATTATTATAGTGAGAACTGCCAGCTCTGTATCTAGTCTTCCATAATGTATCTTTAAATAGAGAAACTCTGGCTAAAACAACACAACTACACGATACCAGAGTTGTAGGAAATATTACTGTTACACTACTTTCACCCAGTGAAAACTACTCTAGAAATACCTGTTTCATTCATGGGTATCTTTTTACAGTTACTATGGGTTCTGATGTGGTCAACTGTAATGGGTCTAGTTCTACAACTTCTTGCCGCTCGACTAGGATGCGTTACAGGTAGGTATCAGATTTAAATATTAAAACGGCAACAGGCGTTAAAACTTCTTGCCGCTCGACTAGGATGTGTTACAAGTACTTCAGATTTTTTATTAAAATTACAACAGGAATTATGTGATAAACTAATACTGCACCTCGGCAACAGGCGATAAATCGTCTGCCGCACGACTAGGATGCGTTACAGGTACTTCAGATTTTTTTGATTAAAATAACAACAGGCATTATGTGATAAACTTTTACTGCCCCTCAACAAATGTGTTGTAGCAATATATTACGGCAGGGCTCACGCTGGGTTCCTTTCTTTTCTGCCAGATTTTCATACTGTATATTCATATAATTTAAAATACATCCCCCTTTGATGTTGGCGTACCATTATTTCAAATAATCGTATGGGCAAATTGCCAATCGTACATTATTTATACTAGTGAAATATTGGACTCGCGTGACGTATTTCACTGTAAAAGCACGTGCGGAGTGTCTGTATTTTTTAATTGTTTAATGGTCTCGAGCTTAAGATATGGGTAATATATTGTAAAAACACTTGAGTCTATGGCCCTCTTGTTGTTACAATATATTACTTAATGTCCCGCTGTTGACCATTAAACAATACATAAACTATGGCACATTATTTTTCTTTTGTTACGCAACCAGCATCGGGTGATAAATTAATACTCCACCTGGTTATAAGGATTATATCAATATATTACGCAATGTCTTGCTGGAGACTTTTAAAAACGTTCAGATACAGATACGCTATCCTGCACATGCATTTCAACATACTCCTCGTAGTGTTTCGTTTGATTAGACCTAATCCCACTTAACACTGCTGTAATGGAAGCAAATTTTCTGTTCCAACTTATGACTGATCAATAGTCCGATTAACAATAAAATAAAACCAACTACAAACAATCCAAACCAATAGCTTACTGCGTAACAATACCAAACAGAGCTCCAAATTGGACCAAATATGTTTACATAATGTTAAGTCATGACTCACGATTTTATTACGCCCAATTAACCAGTGCATAGCAGAATACTGCCGAAAAACTAATTGTGTGACAAACAAGGCTATCAAAACGGAAACAATGTAAACAGTACTGTTTGGTAACAAACAGTACTTTCTAAGTTTTTAATACCTTAAGACTGGGAAGACCCCGGATTAAACGAAGGGCTGTCATGTTGCTTTACTTGGAATAGATTTGATTGAACGGGAAGAATAGACACACTCACTCAAAAACTCAAGTATCAGAAGCCAATCCAGCAGAAGCTTCAGGAATATGGCATAGTGGCGCCCCCACAGGCTGCACACATGAAAGTGCTCTCACTAAAAAGTGATATTAATGCTGATATACTTTAAGTTTGTGTTATTTGGTTGAATATTTTGATGTGTAAGATGTAGTAGCTCATACCTATCCAGTTTTCAAAAACTTTTTGTGTTTGGATTTGGAGGAATTTAGAAGTGTTTTTCGTCAATAGACATATAACTATTTTATTTCTGATATCAACTCAACCTCTATCTGTGTTGATGAAATGGTGACAACAAATCATTCTGTACTAATTAGATTACTATGTGTGTCCCTTGTACCTGAATACATCATGATTGCTTACTCACGACAACAACTCTTGGATTATAGCCACTCAAGTGTTACAAGATTATCTCCAACTGACTTTTCTACCCTAAAAGAATGTAATATTCTTAAGAAATTCAGAGGAAAAAGATCTGGCAATAAGAAACCTACTGGCAAACATGTAAATTCAAAAATAGTTTTACGTGTTAATCTGTGGAATGCTCAGTCAGTACGAAATAAAACTCTGGAGATTTATGATTACGTGATCGAATCAAAAACGGATATTTTGTTTATAACTGAAACTTGGCTATCAAAAAATGGAGACGAGTCTAAATGTGTAGAAATGACCCCACCGGGCTACAAGCTAATACAGTTTCCACGTTTACTGAGGGGAGGAGGAGGAATTGCTGTAATGTATAGGGACATTATTCTACTGAATGTCTCACAACTAAAAACTAACTTCATCTCCTTTGAACATTTAACTGCAATAATTACTTCTGGAAAGATCACAATCAAGATTATTTGTATCTACAGACCACCACCATCGCGGAAAAATAAACTAACTGTGTCTGATTTTGTCAACGAATTTACAACTTTCTGCGATATCACTGATTCAAAAGATAACACAATTATCATTGGCGATTTTAATGTTCATTATGATGTTTCTGATAATTCCACTACAAAACAGATTTCACACATTTTACAATCCTGTGATCTAAAACAGTATGTAAAAACATCAACTCAAAAGGCAGGGCATATCATTGATTGGGTTATCTCAAGAGACATCTTATCCATGATCTACAGGTTATTGATAAACAAATGTCTGATCACTCAATTATCTCTTTTGATGTCAATTTCACAACGCTTCCATCAAAGAGGACTGAAGTTATTTTTAGGAATTTTAAAAATATAAACATCGACGATTTCACGTCTGATCTCTCAAACTCTGTTTTATTGTGTAATCCACCTGATGATGTAGATGACTTAGTTGACTTGTTCGACACCACACTACTGGATATTTTAAATAAGCACGCCCCTATACACACTAAGAAACTTAGTCAGCACTTATCTACGCCATGGTATAATGAAGACGTTGCAATCTCCAAGAGACATAGAAGAACTGCAGAGCGTAGATGGAAAAAATCTGGCTTAGAAATTCATAAACAAATGTTCAACAATGCTCGTAATGATGCAAACCGCTGTATTAAAAAGGCTAAATCTACCTACCTGATTACAGAGATTTCCAAACACTCTAAAAATCCCAAAGCGCTTTACTCTACATTGGATGTTTTATTGGGTAAGAAGTCTGAAGTCGTATTGCCTCAAGGTGAAGATCTACATGTCGCCAACAGTTTCAGTTCATATTTTTCCGAAAAAATTTCAAAAATTCGAGAAAGTTTCGATTCTACTAGTGATGTATTGTCTGTTGCAGAATTCCCAGGTGCCAAATTGCAAGCCTTTGCTGATGTCACAGAAGCAGATGTTAAAAACATCATTCTACATTCGAAGCCAACCTCTTGCCAACTAGATGTTCTCCCTACAAAGTTCCTTCTCAAAATATTGGATGTGATTCTGCCTATCATTACTAAAATCATTAATCAAAGTCTAAACTCCAGAACTGTTCCTAAATGTTTCAAAAGGGCTGTTGTAAAACCCCTTCTTAAAAAACCATCATTGGATTCTGAGGTGTTTAACAACTATCGCTCTGTTTCAAATTTGCCATTCCTTTCCAAAGTTTTAGAAAAAGCAGTCAAAATACAACTTGTTGAGCATCTCACCTCGTTTGGACTACTTGACAAATATCAGTCAGCTTATAGAGAAGCCCACAGCACTGAAACCGCCCTAATTTGTGTTCTTGATAAAATAAAGATGTCTGTCGATGCTGGAAATATCGGTTTGCTAGTGCTTCTAGATCTGTCTGCAGCATTCGATACCATAGACCACAGAATACTGCTTGATCGGCTGCAACTGGAATACGGTTTAGACAATAGTGTCTTGAAATGGTTCTCATCATATCTGACTGACAGGAAACAATGCGTAGAAATAAACAAGGTGAATTCTGGTAGTTTATTTATTTCGTGTGGTGTCCCCCAGGGATCTGTTTTGGGACCCATTCTTTTCACCATGTACACACGATCACTAGGCAAGGTTATTTGCGAGAAGCATGTTGATTACCACGACTATGCAGATGACACTCAACTTATTGATAGTTTCCATACCGATCTTCAATACCAAAAGTCTGTATGTCTGAACATGGAATCTTGTATTGATGCAGTCAAAACTTGGATGTCCTCAAACATGCTTAAGTTAAACGATTCAAAAACTGAAGCCTTGTTAGTAGCTCCAACGCAAAGACTAAAAAAGAGCCACGCAGATGTTCTTAACATCGGCCAGTCCACCATATATTTTTCTGATACTGTGAAGAATCTTGGTGTCTTCCTGGATTCTGGACTAACTATGGAGAAACACATTAGTTATTTATGCTCAATCTGCAATTTTCACTTGAGAAACATAGGTGCAATTCGTCATTTTCTGACAAATGAATCCGCAGAAATTTTAATCAGATCTTTGGTAATGTCACGATTAGATTACTGCAACAGCTTACTAACTGGTGTGTCATTGGAGCAGTTATCCAAATTACAAAAATTACAGAACAGAGCAGCCAGAATTGTGACCAGAACTAAACCGCGAGAACACATTACTCCAGTATTGAAATCGTTGCATTGGCTACAACTTCGTGAAAGGATTGATTATAAAATTCTGTCGCTCACCTACCAATCAGTCCACAAAACCTCTCCAGATTACATTCAAGATCTCACAGTACAATATGTGCCGAACAGAATGCTAAGATCTTCAAAGCAATCACGTTTATATAAACCTGACATCAATTTAAAAACATTTGGTGCGCGATCGTTTGGTTATACATCAGCTGCTTTGTGGAATGAACTACCCGAAGATATCATAAGTTCCTCATCACTAGATATATTCAAATCAAGAATAAAAACTTACTTATTTAGACGCTATATATAACTCGTAGTGAGATAACTTTTTAATACGCTTCGAGCATACTGAGGTGTGGTGTTACAGCGCTATATACATATTATTATTATTATTATTATTATTTCAATGAAATCTATATTTCTGCCATCTTGTATAAATAATGTGCGATTGTTACCCTGCCGTTATTTGAAATGATGGAATGCCAACATCAAAGGATGACGTCACATCTTTGTTTTAATATCTAAGATGCACTTTCTATTTTTGAATTTAAATAATGAAAAGTTTGTTGTATTTTAAAGGTATGAATTTAGCAGAAGTGTGCAATAAAGAATATCCAATAATTCCTCGAATAGCGTTATGGTTGATGGTAGAGATAGCTATTATAGGAAGTGACATACAGGAAGTGATTGGATCAGCTGTAGCCATTAATCTTTTATCAAATAAAGTGTAAGTAAAAGTAACAAAGAGCTTTCTTGGTCAGCATCAGGATTGAACTTCGGACATCCAGGTTATTGAGCTAGCGTCTGAGCCACCATGGCTATAAGACTTTTAAAGAGAGAGAGAAATGGGGTTTAACATCCACTTGACACAAGCCGGATCATTTTGGGACTAACATATGGTACAATTTTATTTTAATAATTCGCTTGGACATAGCGGTCTATGTACAATTATTGAAACCGCGCCAGTTGACACAATGACATACCTTATGATACAACGCACATGCTAACCCTTCGGCCATCCAAGACTTTTAATTATAAACCTGAAATGAAATGAAATGTGTTTTAACATCCTACTTTTCTACACCAACTGGGCTAATGAAGATGGGCCATGCAGTGTGCTATGAGGGAAATTTCCATATATGTTAATAAGTCATGTGATATCCTACATTTGCATATTAAAGATAGTGCTGTCTGTAAGATGCTATATATGTAGAAAGCGCAAAGGAAAAATGAGATGTGGCAGAGCGCAAATGTAAAATGTTAACGTGTAAAAAAAACGTTTTCCAATTAAACTTTATCATTTGACGTTTTACATTTAACTTTGGTCTTAGAGGTAATTTGACTTTATCATTACCAGTACTAAGATTTTGTACATTGTACTTTTTACACGTAATCAGTCGAAAGGACATTTTAGCAGAACATTTAATATTGGCAGCGATACCTTTCCATAGATTGAGCATTCCGGAATTGACAGGATTGAATTCTGCATCACTCAATTGCAATGGGGAGGCTTGATTATCAGTCCTGAATTGACAGAATTACAATCAAGTTCCACAAAATTCAGTCCTGTCACAATTCTATCAGTCCTGACAACGAAGGTGGTATGAGTAGAATCATGGCATATTTGAACACAACGAATATGTTCAGCGGCCATGTTTGGTTGAGATATTTTCTTATACAGGCGACGAATATGTTGTAGCATAAAATCCTTTTTTTCACTTGATTGTTACCATTTTGGGGATTAAGAGAATACAATTCCAGAATGTGCAATTTAATATCCCGATCTGATTAAAATACAAATCTATATTCCGTTTCGTTTTTTTATACTTTCGATGGCCTACACTACATGAAGATCTGTCGCGTCAGGGGTCAAAAGACCGACTTATGACCCGATGATGTCAGATATTTGATTAACCAATCAGCATTGATGTTACTAGTGGATTACCCACAGTTCAGTGCAAAACACGCCTAAAGCTCGCCGTGACAGACCGTTTCATTGGCTTATCCCTGACACCATTCAGAACACGAGTTAGATAACCACTCTTCCAGATCCAAGTGTAGTAAAGACAAGTAAAACGAAATTTTGAACTATAAAAACGAAACGAAATAGGATCTGTGTTTTAACCAGATTGTTTAATATCCCCAATGTGTTAAGCATTGAATTCTGAAGACTAAAGGGGGAGAACTGTGTTCTGACCTTTTCCAGGCACTTAATTTGATATGTATAGAACAAGTGAGAGGAGAGAGAAATGTTGTTTAACTGGGGTGGTTTGGAATCCCTGGTTGTACGTGATAAGGTGTAGGGTCGCCTGTCCAACCTCGTGGGTTTTCTCCAGGTCCTCTGGTTTTCTTCCACTGCTAAAGACCCCTACAAGCAAACGAATTATTGAAATACAATAATCATAGTAGTCCCAAAATAAACTAGTTTGTGTCAAGTGGACGTTAAACCCCATTTCTCTCTCTCTCTCTCAGATATTAATAAGATATTTATAAAATATTTGTATTTTTCAGAATACCAATCTGGGCAGGTGTGTTAATTACAGGTGTTGATACCTTCACGTTTCTCTTCCTGGAAAATGCTGGTTTACGTAAGCTTGAAGCCTTGTTTGGTGCTCTTATAACTACAATGGCATTTTCTTTTCTTTATATGGTAAATATGAAAATTTTGTAATTTAACGTCCAAATGGGGTTTAGTGTTTACCAGTAATTAAGTTTTAACAGATTGGTGAACATGCCTCAAAAGTCCATCCATCCGGAACAAAACAGTAGGCGTTAAACCCAATTTCATTTCATTTCGTTTTCGAATGTCCATATCATCAGGTTTTCACCCATCTGCCACTATGTCCATATCATCAAGCACCCCTCCGGTCAGGTTTTCACCCACCTGTCACATTTAAGGACTAAAGAAAGACCTGCAATAGGCAAATTTACATTATGCAAGAGCTAAATCTGCCTATTGCAGGTCTTTCTTTAGGCCTAAAATGTTATCTAAATTATTAGTTAGACATTAAATAATTTATCCAGACCATAATCAACTCTCGATGGCATCACTAGCCGGCGATGTTTATTGGATTAGGTTCCGATTTCCTGTTCGACTTCCATTCATAATTAAATCAATAAATGGATAATCGAGGCTATGTTATTTATCCTACCTACTTTTGTAATGATAATCGAGACTAGACCGAAAACTCAATCGCTAAAATCTCGGTTCATAGTGGATCAATTTGACTGAAATTTTCAGTTAATTGCCTTTACATTATCTAGTTTTTAACTATTATAGTGAAAACTACCAGCTCTTTATCTAATCACCCATGATGGAACTTTAATGTATGTTTAATGATCAAAGCACACAAACGTCTTGATCAATCTCAAATTTCAGTTTTCTTTGCTTGATAAGGATGAAATAAACTTTTAAGTAACTTATATTTCATATAATTGTGTGATGTGACTAAATGCCGTTCAAACAAATTAATTTCTTTGATGATTTCAGTATATAACAGTTCAACCTAATCAAGGAGACATTTTGATTGGTTTATGGTTTCCATGGTGTCAAGACTGTAATAAGGATGCTATTCAACAATTGGTTGGAATCGTGGGAGCAGTTATTATGCCTCATAATATTTATTTACATAGTGCGTTAGTTTTGGTAAGCATCAAATCATTGAAATGAAATGGGGTTTTTAATACCTTGGTTTTTTTTTGCACTATATAAGAATGATAATAATAATAATAATAATGAATTTATATAGCGCTGACAATTCAACTCAGTGAGCTGCTCTCGGGCTCTTTAAATAAGTACAACTAAAATAAAGTTACAACAATCACAACACATTAATACATAAATAAGACAAACAAATACAGAGAACATTATTTAGGGCCTTATGGAGATGGGTATACGACATGCAGTGTGCTGTGAGTGGAATGTTGCTCTGACAGTGGCGCTACGGCCAACATTTATTTTGATCTCCAGTTGTCAGGGAATATTTAAACGTGCTGTTATGATATTCACGGGATGTTGTTTTTCATTTAATCCAATCAACTAGACACTATTGTATGCCAGGCCCTCCTTCCTGCACCACAGACAAGAGGAAACCAAGTTAGAAATTCCTAAGGAACTTTCTTTACATTATAAATGTTTCATTGCCTGGCAACCTATCTTTATATTACGCTATACTGTCTTCATTGGCTCTGCGGGTGCATAACAATAGAATGTTAAACCCCATTTCATTTAATTTCATTATATTACGTTATAAATGTTTTGTTGCCCAACAACCTATCTCTACATTACACAATATAGATGTTTTGTCCAGTGGCAACCTAGTTTTACATTACATTAGAAATTTACATTACATTAGAAATTTACATTACATTAGAAATTTACATTACATTAGAAATTTTTCCTTGTCTGGCAACCTATGTTCATTTACATTACGCTGTATATGTTTTGATGTCTGGCAACCTATCTTTACATTATGTATAAATGTTTCATTGCCTGTCAACCTATCTTTACATTATGTATAAATATTTGTTGCCTGGCAACCTATCATTACATTATGGATACATGTTTGTTGCCTGGCAACCTATCTTTATATTTGTATGAATTTTTGTTGCCTGGCAACCTATTTTTACATTATGTTGTATTATATTTCAGTCTCGTAAAATAGATAGAAAAAATAAAGATGCCGTAAAAGAAGCCAACATGTATTACTCCATAGAGTCAGGTACACAAATTTTATTTTAACTTAAAAGGGGTGGGGGGGGATGACCCAATGGTCAGTGCACATCATAAGGTCTGTCATTAAGTCAACTGGCGTGGTTTCACTTCCCCGGTTGTACCTGACAAGGAGTAGGGTCAGCAGTCCAACCTCGTGGGTTTTAACTCCGGTTTTCTTCCACTGCTAAAGTCCCATACGACTTTGTCTCCATTATCAAGTACGGTAACTACATCTATAAACTTCAAACAGTGATAACTTTGCTCAGAATGAAGTAATTTGAATGAAATTTTCAATATATTCATTTTCTATTTTTGAATTATTATAGCAAGAACAGTCATCTCTTTATCTAAATCTTACATAATCTATCTTTAAACTTTATAATTCTTTTTTTTTTTCAGCTATTGCGTTATTTGTGTCCTTTCTAATCAATCTATTTGTGGTAGCAACATTTGCAGCAGCCTTTTCCGAATCGAAATATGCAGATAATGCTAGTATTAGAAATGCTGTAAGTTGTTTCAATTATTACACTGCATTGGTCGAGAAAGTTCATCAGGAATTTACGACATGGTTTCCCCTTGCCATTGGTGCAGGATGGAGAGCCTGACAAGGACAGCTGTCTAGATGTTCGGATGGTTACGAAAAACCGATGTCCTGTATATACATTGGCATGCATGTAAAAATCCCTTGGCAGTTGGAATTCGATATAAGAGTAGGCCATAATGCCGCTGCCTAGGCAAAATTTCCCTAATAGCACATTGTATGGCGTATGCCCGTCTCCATTAGCCCAGTCGGAGCAGAACAATAGGACATTAAACCCCATTTCATTTCATTTCAATTATTACATCGTTCTTCCGGTTTCCTCCCACTGCTAAAGAGTCATATAGCCCGTTCAGACTCTTAAGTTGAACTGGTTTAAAAACCCTGGGGATCGTTAAACCAGTTTAACTTAAGCGTCTGAACGCAAATGTGGAGCAAATAAACCAGTTTAAAAACCCCTGCTCGCGACCTGTCTTCGAGAAGGCTTTTTATTTTAAACTGGTTCATCTTAGCCGTCTGAACGGGTTGGCTTAAAAAACCCAGCTCCAGCTTGCTTCGAGCATGCGCAGTACGCAGTTAGTTACATTCCTGTGAAAATATTGGGGTCAGACAGTGCCAATGTTATCGAAAGCGTGCCAGAACCGAATAAAGAATATCAAGCTACCCATGCGCAGTTAACTCTAACCTCCGACCGAAGAGGTCAGAATAGTTAAACTGGTTTGGCTTATAGTACGTGTGAACGCAACACGATGCTGTCTTAAAAACCCCAGCGATTATGAACTGGTTTAAAAATAACCGTCTGAACGGGCTATTACTCTTAAACAAATTATTGAATAAGATTGTGCCATATGTTACTGTCGAGTGTACGCTAAACCTAGTCTTTCTCTTCCTTTTTCAGGGAGAATGGATTAAAGAAAAATATGGACTAGGGATGAAGGTTATTTGGGGTATCGGCATCTTGGCAGCCGGTCAAAGTTCAACCATGACAGTAAGTAATATCTACAAAGAAAATAGGAAAAACTGTTTTCTTTGAAATGATAAATTTGCAGCTCAGATGACTAGAAAAAATGGTTCATTAATGGTTTGATAATTTCTGTAGGTTTCCTTTTTTCTTGATATCGAGTGGGCGGGGGGACGGTGGGTAGATAGCCGATTGGTTAGCTCATGCGCGCTGAATCAAAGGTCTGTCATTGAGTCAGCTGGCGTGGTTTCGATTCCCCGGTTGTTCGTAACATGGAGTAGAGTTGCATGTCCAACCTTGTGGCTTTCCTAGCACTTCTAAAGATCCCTACGCACAAGCAAATTATTGAAATAAAATAGAACCATATGTTATTTCTAAAATGACCTAGTTTGTGTCGCCTGTCCAACATCATGGATTCTCTCTGGGTCTTCCGGTTTCCTCCCACTGCTAAAGACCGCCACACGCAAGCTAATTATTGAAATAAGATTCAACCATGTGTTTGTTAGTTTGTGTTGAGTGGACGTTAAACCCCATCTCTCTTGCCTACATGTATACCTGTCTGGGTGGTCACAGTGGCTAAGTGGGTAAGACGCTGGCTCGCTAGCCTGGAGGTCGGGTGTTCGATCCCTGCATTGGCCGAGAAAGTTCATCCAGATTTTGCGGCGTGGTTCCCCCTTGTCAGTGATGCAGGACGGAGGGCCTGACAAGGAAAGATGTCTAGTCATTCAGATGAGACGAAAAACCAAGGTCCCGTGTATAAATTGGAATGCACGTAAAAGATCCCTTGGCAGTTGGAATTCGATATAAGAGTAGGCGATAGTGTCGCTGCCCGGGCAAAATTTCCCTCATAGCACACTGTATGGCATATGCACGTCTTCATTAGCCCAGCATAGGAGCAGAACAGTAGGACGTTAAACCCCATTTCATTTCATTTCATTTCGTATACCTGTCTATAGTACACTGCATAGCCTATACCCATCTTCATTGGCACAGTTGATGCAGATAGCTACGATGACATGCTACTCATGAGTTGCTGGTCCATATTAGTACTTGTTTTTATATTTCTATATTTAAAACATTTATTGTTTTATTATAGGGAACGTATGCTGGACAGTTTGTGATGCAGGTAAAATAATCTTTTTTCTCAATGATAAGGGCTTGAAAGTTAGGTTTCTCACGGTTCTGCTTTACTAAATGTTATTGGGTGGCCAGCTGTGGTTTAAAGTGTTACAGCTATATTTCCACCATGTTTATGATACACCACCATGTTAATGATACACCACCATGTTTATGATACACCACCATGTTTATGATACAACACCATGTTTATGATACACCACCACAATGTTTAGGATACAGCACCATGTTTATGATACACCACCATGTTTATGATACACCACCACCTTGTTTATGATACAACACCACAATGTTTAGGATACACCACCATGAAAATGTACTCTTGTCATGATGCTGACATGTAAAATATGACTTGAGCTGTGCACAGTTCTTTATGAGGAACCACGCTCTATGCCAAATTTCCCTCCTTTACTCTGCACACGTAACTATAGATAGAAATATTATTGACAATGACCGAAGTATTGTGTTGATAAGACTTAAATTGTATACCATTCCATTTGGTGTTCCATTCCATTCCATTTGGTGTTCCATTCCATTTGGTTCCATTCCATTATGTTCCATTCGATTCCATTTGGTTCCATTCCATAATGTTCTATTCCATTCCATTTGGTTCCATTCCATTTGGTTCCATTCCACTTGGTTCCATTCCATTTGGTTCCATTCCATTATGTTCTATTCCATTCCATTATGTTCTATTCCATTTGGTTCCATTCCATTATGTTCTATTCCATTTGGTTCCATTCCATTATGTTCTATTCCATTTGGTTCCATTCCATTATGTTCTATTCCATTTGGTTCCATTCCATTCCACTTGCTTCCATTCCATTCCATTTGGTTCCATTCCATTCCACTTGGTTCCATTCCATTCCATTCCACTTGGTTCCATTCCATTCCATTCCACTTGGTTCCATTAAATTCCATTTGGTTCCATTCCATTCCACTTGGTTCCATTCCATTCCACTTGGTTCCATTCCATTCCATTTGGTTCCATTCCATTCCATTATGTTCTATTCCATTCCATTTGGTTCCATTCCATTTGGCTCCATTATATGTTGGAAGATGATATTTGTTTTTGTTTTTTGTTTATTCAGGGATTTTTGAATATAAAATGGGCGAAATGGAAGAGAGTTTTATTAACCAGATCTATTGCCATCGTGCCGACTATAATCGTCGCCATCTTAGCAACCAGCGATCTTGACGATATGAATAGTTGGTTAAATGTATTACAGAGTGTTCAACTACCGTTCGCGTTATTACCCATACTGCACTTCACTAATAATGAGAGAATTATGGGAGATTTTAAAAATGGAAGGTTTGTTGTATTATTTCTGCAAATAAAACTGAACCCACCCACCCTACCCACCCAACCAAAAATCATGTGTTATGGGTATAGCTGTCTGGTTATTAGCAGTGTGGGAGCCATGGTGGCTAAGTGGGTGAGATGCTGGCTTGCTAGCCTCGAGGTCACGTGTTTGATTCCTGCATTGGCCGAGAAAGTTCATCAGGAATTTCCGGCGTGATTTCTCCTTGTCAGTGATGCAGGATGGAGGAGGGCCTGACAAGGACAGCTGTCTAGTCGATCGGATGTGACGAAAAAACAAGGTCCTGTGTGTACATTGACGTGCACTTAAAAGATCCCTTGGCAGTTGGAATTTGATATAAGCGTAGAAGAGTAGTAGCAGAACAGTAAGACGTTAATTAAACCCCATTTCATTTCATTTATTAGTTGTATTAGTAATGGATATAAATTTTTATTATTTTGTTTAAGGATTTTAAAGATAGCTGTGTGGTTATTAGCTGTATTAGTAATGTTATTATTTTATTCAGGGTTTTAAAGATAGCTGTCTGGTTATTAGCTGTATTAGTAATGGGAATAAATGTGTATCTAGTATATCTATTTCTGGTAAGTTTTTATTAATCTTTGTATTTTGTTGGGTGTATATTTTGTTGACTGACCACATTGGTTGTTCCTCTCTGTCATGAGGGGGGTGGGTGGCCGAATGGCTAGCACGTGTGCTAAAGACCCCTATGAGCAAGCGAATTATTGAAATGAAATTGAATCATTTGTTAGTCCTGAAATGACCTGATTTGTGTCGAGTAGACGTTAAACCCTCTCTCTCTCTAACTCTCTCTGGACTAACATATAGTTCAATTTAATTTGAATAATTCGCTTGCGCGTAGTCGTCTTTAGCAGGGGGAAGAAACCAGAGGACACAGGGAAAACCTGACAAGGTTGGACAGGCGACTCTACTCCTTGACACGTACAAGTGAGGAATCGAACCACTTGACACAATGACAGATCACCCACATGTTAAACCACTAGACCATCCAACCACCTTGTCTAAAGTAAAAGTAGAATTATGATTTATATTATATTTATTGAACAGGGTGATGATAGACGATGGTATTGGTATTTTATAGCTGCTTGTATTATATTATCATACACAGTGTTTATATTCTATTTAGTAAGTAGATTACATTGGATTATCCCCCTTTAGTAAGTAGATCATATTGGATAATCTCCCTTTAGTAAGTAGGGCCCAACATGAAATGAAATGAAATGAGAGAATTTTTGCCTTGGCAGCGGTGCTACGGCCTACTCTTATATCAAATTCCAAGTGCTAGGGGATCTCACGGGACCTGGTTTTTTTGTTTTTTTTGCCCTATCTGAACGTCCATGCATTGTCTCTTGCAAGCTGATCCCTCTTGCACCTGTTACAATAAGAGGGAACCATGCCGGAAAATCCCAATGAACTTCCTCGGTCAACACAGGGATCCAAACACAAGACCTCCCGTGTCTTTGTCGCTGAGCCACCATCACTCATTTTTATAAAGATAAAGTGAAGATGTTTATTTCCTGGCGTAAAGAGATTAATTGTAATATTCTGTGTCTGTTTTATTTTTAGGCTCTTGGAGTTCGACGTTATTCCAAGTTAAAGGTGAGGGAAATATTTCACTAAGTAATTAATCTTTCTCAGTGACATCATATGATCACATGACTTCTGTTGAGAAAGTAAAGTATGGACACTTAACAGAAATAGACTATAATAATATTTAGTTCAGTGAGATTAATATAATGTACATAAATATGGTAGAGATTATAGTTTTGGCGGGAAATTGTAGAAGGTGGAGAGAGAGAGAGAGTTTAACGTCCACTCGACACAAACTAGGTCATTTCAGGACCAACACATGGTTCAATTTTATTTCAATAATTCGCTTGCGCTTAGGAGTCTTTTGTAGTGGGAGGAAACTGGAGGACCCAGAGAAAAACCACAAGTTTCGACAGGCAACTTGTCATACAACAGGGGAAACGAAACCACGCCAGTTGACTCAATGACAGATGTATGATACAGCGCGCACGTGCTAACCACTCGGCCATTCCTACTGCCAAGGCATCTTTTATTACATGTAGGCCATTACAAAAGAACTGTTAGCAGTAGGAATTATAAGATTGAAAATATTAAACATACATTATGCAAGTGCTAAATCTGCCTATTGCAGGTCTTTCCTTTGGCTTTAAATGTTATCTAAATTGTGTCCCCGGTTGTACGTGACAAGGAGTAGGGTCGCCTGTCCAACCTTGTGGGTTTTTCTCCGGGTCCCCCGGTTTCCTCCCACTGCTAAAAACCCCTATGCGCAAGTGCATAATTGAAATAAAATTGAACCATGTGCTAGTCCCGAAATGACCTAGTTTGTGTCGAGTAGACGTTAAACCCCATTTCTCTCTCTCTCTCTCTCTCTTCTCTCTCTTCTTTCTCTCTCTCTCTTCCACTCTCTCTCTCTCTCCCCCCTCTCTCTCTCTCCCTCCCTCTCTCTCTCTCCCCCCCTCTCTCTCCCTCTCTCTCTCTCTCTCTCCCCCTCTCTCTCCCTCTCTCTCTCACTCTCTCATCTAATAATTAATTAGACATTAATTAACTTATCCAGACCATAATCAACTCTAGATGCCATCAGATACCTACATCCTCTTTTTTTTTTAAATATTATTGGGAGAACAGCTAGCTCTTTATCTAAATCTTGCATAATGCCACTTTAATAAATACAACAATAGTAAATTATGATAAAAAAAAAATTGATTTTTTTCTTCAGTTGTATGTTATTAAGAAGATTGGACTGGATACGAGCGATCTCGAGAATTTGATACAAGATGAGGGTAGTACGAGATATCCTGATCAATCAGCATCTCACGATGAACGTCCACGATCTGAAAGTATATTTTAATATCTCATCAATGAAACATATAGAATTCACAGATATGCAGTCTGTTGACATAGAATCAAGTTGTGTCAGTCTCAAGAACAGACCCAGAATCCAGTTGTGTCCTTCCCAATGACAGACATGACCCAGAATCAAATTGTGTCCTTCCCAATGACCGACTTGACACAGAATCCAGTTGTGTCATTCCCAATGACAGACTTGACCCAGAATCAAATTGTGACATTCCCCATGACAGACTTGACCCAGAATCAAATTGTGACATTCCCAATGACAGACTTGACCCAGAATCCAGTTGTGTCATTCCCAATAACAGAATTGACCCAGAATAAAATTGTGTTGTCCCGGTAAGATGTAGTGCACGTTGATTTGTGACATAACTACGTGCTGGACATGTTTCAACTGTGCTCATAGGTGGAGATATTTTTGATATACGTACGATATACTTGTACATGGATTGATGAAACTGAATTTTTAAAAATAAAAGTGATTGTCTATCCCCAATATGTGGTGGTACTCACAGAACTTTCCATGTCGAGTTGACCAATAATGTAGGCCTACATCTTGAACAAGTTTTTCTAAGACATCCTGAATGAACTGCTGGTGTAGTAGATTTTACATAAAACTCTCTGTCCTCCAGTATTTCACGAAAAGTAACGTAAGTTTTACTTGTGCCGCAGGAACCTGATCATTGTAAGACTGGATGAACCGGTCTGTAATTCAGGAAGTTGTCAACAACCTAGTCAGTCCGCATTTATCTTATTGATATTATTGATATTATCATTTATCTTATTGATATTATTGATATTATCATTTATCTTATTAATATTATTGATAATATCATTAAACGTATTAATATTATTGATATTATCATTTATCTTATTAATATTATTGATATTATCAATTACCTTATTAATATTATTGATATTATCATTATACTTATTAATATTATTGATATTATCATTTATCTTATTAATATTATTAATATTATACTTTTTAATATTATTGATATTATCATTGATAATATTAACATTATTGATATTACATGTATTATTAACGCACAAATAATTTATGAAATTTTTCTCATGTGATAAGCAATGTATCTATAACAAATCTTTAACAGGTGCAAAGGTATTTCAATATTGATATTATTATTAACGCACAAATAATTTATGAAATTTTTCTCATGTGATAAGCAATGTATGTATAACAAATCTTTAACAGGTGCAAAGGTATTTCAATATATATTTTATAGAGTATTTTATTTTTTTAGATATATTTTCATATTTTGTAGATTGTACATAGATGTATCAGAGTGTGTCCTAATTATGTTAAATATTGAATATATTAGAATTATGTTAAATATTGAATATATCCTAATTCTGTTAAATATTGAATATATTAGAATATAATTAACATAATTTGTTAAATATTGAATATATCCTAATTCTGTGAAATATTAAACATATTATATTATAATTAATGAAATTCTGTTGAATATTGAATACATGTATATTATAATATAATTAATGAAATTCTGTTGAATATTGAATAATTCTGTTGAATATTGAATAATTCTGTTGAATATTGAATATATTATAACATAATTCTGTTGAATATTTAATATATTATAATAAAATTAACATAATTTTGTTAAATATTTAATATATTATATTCAAATTATGTTAAATATTGAATATGGTAATTGTATTCAATATCATAATATATCCAAATTCTTTTAAATAATGCAATTATGTTAAATATCAAATATGTTATTTTAAAATTAACATAATTATGTTAAATGTTGAATATATTATAATTAATGAAATTATGTTATTTGTTGAATATATTATAATTATGGCAATTATGTTGGATATCATAATATATCCTTATTCTGTTAAATATTGTATATATCATATAATCATTGTAATTCTGTTACATAATTCAACGAGATATTAATGGTAGTTTTTATACATTCCTTAAACAGTTTGTTAAAGTTGAAGTTACTGGGTCGAAAATTCCCGAAAGAATTTGTTCTCAACCAGTAATTATAATATTTAACTCTATTGACATTTCCATGGAAACATGTTTTTCCCTTTATTTATACTCCCAATATTATGGCAATATTTGTTGTGCATTTATACTAAGGAGATACACGAATGAACGTCCCGGAATTAAATTCTCTCAATTCCGAAAATAGTGTCAATCGAGTGAAAAGGAGAATTTCGGGGTACAACGCATGTGCCAACTGCATACAAAAATATCTCAATCAATCATGGCTGTTGAAACATTTTTGTTACTTAAAATACATCACGATTCTACTCACACCACCTCAGCTGTCGGGACTGGCAGAACTGTGACAGGACTAAATTCTGTATCACTTGATTGCAATTCTGTAAATTGGGGGACGTTACGGACTGACAATCTAGCACCCCCTAAGAGTTTCTTATTAAACCATCCCAGCTAATGTCGACGTGTATATGCCATGCAATGTATTGCACATTCAGCAATGCGACAGTCTACTCTCTTTTTTTACGTGCATGCCAACGTGTGCAAAGACCTCGGTTTTTCGTCCCATCTGAATGGCTAAACTCTGTGTCTTACCAGACTCTCTCCGTCCTGCCCAATGACAAGGGAAACCTTGCCCATTTGAAAGAAGAAGGGTTTTCAATTTGTCTCTATGAATATTTGTGTATAATGAAGTATTTTTTCAATGTTTTCTATGTAGGCCTACTATGTCTTTCAAACATGTTTCGCTTTAAAAAAATATCGTTATATATTTGTGTCTACATGTACATGTATATTACATATCTTTAAGAGAGAGAAAGACGAATGGGGTTAAACGTCCACTTGCGCGTAGGGGTCTTTAACAGTGGGAGGAAACTGGAGGACCCGGAGAAAACCCATGAGGTTGTACGGGCGAGCCTTCCAGGGAATCGAAACCACGCCAGTTGACTCAATGACAAACCTCATGAAACAGCACCTACGCACTAACCATTCGGCCATTCTCCACCCCCACCACATATCTTTAAAGTAGGGAGAGAGAGATAAATGGGGTTTAACATCCACTTGCCACAAATGAGGTCATTTTGGGATGGACAGGTAAAAACCTAGCTTGACATTGTAACTACACTACTTGACACAATGACAGACCTGCCGATCTAAAGTGCACATGTTAGCCCATTCAATCCCTCCTCCATTCCCTTTTGCTGTAAAGCTGTGTGAGCGAATTGGTATTGGGTGTTGGAAATAACAAGCATACCCTGCCTTGCGCATGTTAACCATAGTTAACTTAAGTGATAGCCAAGATTTGAAATTGGAAGCTAAATCTGCAACAAAATGCATTATTTCTAAATTAAAACAACTTGCCATCATTAAACCAGTTGGCGCTGAAAAGTAGGATGTTAAACCCCATTTTATTTCATTTCATTAAAACGCAGGGAAGTTGGGTGGCTGAATGGTTTAATGTGTGCACATTAGATCACAAGGTCTGTCATTGAGTCAACTAGCGTGGTTTCAATTGCTCGGTTGTACATGACAAGGAGTAGGGTCGCCTGTCCAACCTCGTGAGTTTTCTCTGGCCCTCCGGTTTCCTCCCACTGCTAAAGACCCCTAAACGCAAGTGAATTATTGAAATAAAATTGAACCATATGTTAGTTCTGAAATGACCTAGTTTGTCTGGAGTGGACCTTTAATTACATCTCTCTCTCCCCCCCCTTCACTCTCTCTCTCTCTCTCATTAAAACAGACTACTTCAGTATTATATATCGCCCTACTTGGAATGAAATTCATATTAAGGGAGTTATCATCTATAATTTATTTATTTATTGATTTCATATACAAGTATTTATTATTAATTTTCCCGATTTTCATGATACTCGCACAAATGTACTGCATTTATATTGGCTCGTTCTCTCAATTTCCATGGCATTAATTGTTGAATATTCATGATTTTGCTCGCCTGTCAAACCTCGTGGGTTTTCTCCGGGTCCTCCCACTGCTAAAGACCCCTACGCGAAAGCGAATTATTGAAATAAAAATTGAACCATGTGTTGGTCCCGAAATGACCTAGTTTGTGTCGAGTGGATGTTAAACCCCATTTCTCTCTCTCTCTTTCATGATTTTGCAATCTGATTAAAATACAATGTTGGGCTCTTTGTTATATTGATTGAGCGGGGTTGGATGGCCAAATGGTTAGCGCATGCATGTTCTATCATAAGGTCTGTCATTGAGTCAACTGACGGGGTTTCGATTCCCTGGTTGTACATGACAAGGTGTAGGGTCGCCTGTCCAACCTCGTGGGTTTTCACCGGGTCCTATCGGCTCTTCCCACTGTTAAAGACCCCTCTGCGCACAAGCGAATTATTGAAATAAGATTGAACCATATGTTAGTCCCCAAATGACCTTATTGTGTCGAGTAGGCGTTAAACCCCATTTCTCTCTCTGTATGATTGACCTGTGTACTGATCCAGGGGAAGTAATCATAAATTGATCGATAACAATAACACAATTAACCTGTGTCATGATCAAGGGGAGGTAAGCATGAACTTTAGTTATACTATAATGAGATTTTTAGTGATATTAATAAAACTATACTGGTCATGTGGATGTTAAACCCCATTTCTCTCTTTCTCCTCAAGTCTTCACAAAGCCCAAGTCTCATTCAAATCGCCTGGTCAATAAATGAGTCAGCAATTCATTTTTGCCAGTCTTGTTTACTCAAAACCTAAAGAACAATGGAGTCGCGATACGTATTTCATATGACTTAAAGGAGAAGACCAACGATTTTCTACGTGGTTTCTATAAAGTTTTAATAAAAATTAATTTCTCACTTACAAAAACGTTTTTGCTTATGTTTCCCTAGGGGATTATTCATCAATATATATTTCAGATGTATGGAAACCTTGTTGAAAATCGTTGGTCTTCCCCTCGAGTTTGAGTCAATGGCCCAAGTTTACACTTCTGCCATGTGACAGAGAGAGAGAAATGAGGTTGTAATGATTTTCTTAGAGTGGCAGGAAACTGGTGGACCCTGGAGAAAACTCTAGGTTAGGGTAAAGACAGGAGAACTCTACTTCTTATCATGTCACCCGATGGTTGGAAACATTGAATCATATGTTAGTCCCAGAATGACCTGTATTGTGTCAAATGGGCATTAAACCCCATTTCTCTCTCTCCCCTAGTTAAGAGTCCAATGCGCTTACCCCTCGACTACTGTGACCCACAGGTAAAAATAAATCAAGGCAAACAAAGATGGTAATAAGGCTTTATTGTGACTGGATAATCTATCTATACAACGTGAAATAAGAAAAAATAAAGGGGCAAAAAATTGAGAATATGAACTGGCAATCGGCCAATTTAGTGTATTTTCTGTCAAAACTTCAATTATTCATAACTTTGCTAAGAATAAAGTAATTTGACTGAAATTTTCAATATGTTCATTTTTCATTATCTATTTTTGAACTACATAGCAAGAACGACCAGCCCTTTTTTCTAAATCTTACCAATCTGATTATAATACAGATCTATATTTCGTTTCGTTTTTTATACTTTTGATGGCCTACACTACATGAACATCTGACAGGTGGTAGTGGAAGGTTGCATCAGAGGTCATACGAGCGGCTTTTGACCCTATGACGTCAGACATTGATTAATCAATCAGCGTTGACGTTTCTTGTGGTTTACCCAAAGTTCCTTGCACCTCACAGCAAAAACTCGCCGTAACAAACCATTTCATTGGCTAATCCTTCGCATCATCCAGAACGCGAGTTATATAACAACTCTTCCAGATCCTAGTGTAGTAAAGACAATTATAACGAAATTTAAACTATAAACTATATGAACTATAAAAAACAAAACGAAATGGGATCTGTGTTTTAAAGGGACAATAACACTCTTGCTGGCTTTACAGCTCCAGAAAATAAAAAATAGCCTTATTCTAAGTACTAGATGTGTTAGTGTCCTACCTGTTGTGTAAATTATCCATTAAATCCTATTTTACTTGTCCAGAGGGTTCAAAAATAGTTTTAAATCCAAGTCACATTTGAAAAGCTTTATGTCAGGCTTTTCAAATCATTTAGTTGAATTTGTCCAATTTTTAAATTAGGTGTGTTAAGATGAAATTTGTATCATCAATTAATTGGAATATTGTAAAATAGTACAATTTGTTGATCAGAATAAAGATTGGGCCATATTATTCAGTTACAACAAGAGTGGTATTGTCCCTTTAATCAGATTGAAATCTTGCATACTGCATCTTTAAAATTACTTTAATGTGTCTGATCTGATTCTCCCGCAGGTAAAAAGCCTAATAATATTTACCTGGTAGTAAAATTACTTTTCCATATTTACTATCTACAATATACAAGCCTAAGAAGAAAAACACCCACAAAAATCAACCAACAAAAAATATAGTTAAAATATCAGAAATGAGCAAAAAGTCCTAATGCTGATTTTAAATCTAAATGTATGAATAAAATGTTAAAATGGATCAACTTTAGAAGTTTTATGACAAAAATGAGGCATTAAGACAATGAACGCTAACATTAAATGTTGATTTTACCATTGGACTATTCTGCATTGTGATTCAAACCCTATGTCATTATTTGATTCAATTGGAATTTTTGAATGTCTGGAATCTCTTCAAATGAATCTTTCAATTCAATATATTTTCCTATTCAAATATTTTAGGTTATTATTTAAATGCTAGGGACAGGGGTCCACAATAGGCTATGCCTTGAGTCCAAAATAGGCGACAAATCTGAAAAAAATATTGTTTATAAAAAAAAATAAAAATGCTGTTCTAACTTTTCATTCAAACAGAAAGGGTCAATTTTTGTTCCATTTTTAAAGCATTTTTTGATTTCTTTATGCAAATCTTCAATTATTTGTTTATTTTTAAATATTAGTTGATTGCATGGAATTAATATAAGTAAATATTTCATAGGAGACAAAATAATTGATGAAATCTATCCATTTTGATCATAAAAAAATCAGATAAAATAATGTTTAAAAAGTTATTAGAATTGTAATATTTGTATGAATACTAATTTCATCGTGATTCTTGATGGCAGTTTAACCAGAGAATCTGAAGCATGATTCATACAATTTCTGACAAACTAGTTTTTGACTTCGATCGTGGTCAAACATCCATTAAGAAACTGGTCTTTTTGGTGGTGTATATAGTCTCGGTCACCCAGAACCTCCTAGTCTTCCACTTGCGGAGGGTCTGGGACCATTGTCAATATTTGACGAAAAGTCCAATTGCCCATGCGTGACCAGGAGTTTGTTTTTTTAATGTGGTTGATTATCCAGTATCTTTGGACAAGTCAAGTAAGAGTTGTGCCCCTTTCCGAAATAAATCCCATAATTCATGCATTTTTATAAACAAAGATGAATCGTGACAACGAATTAAGATTTATTAAGAAAACATAGATGGCCCATGAAGTGAGAAATTTTACAATAAAATTTATTAAGAGTGTTGGATAGTGAACTGGCAATGCAAATGGATTTTCTGAAATGGCTATTCGACATCTTTTAGGACTAGTTACCTCCCTTAGACTTTGTTCATGAAAATGTAAAAGACTGGATAATCTAGCCAATGACTTATTATTCTCAACCCATCCAGACTATTATTCGTAGAATATTTTTCTGGATGATAGAGACTACATAGTATACTGAATTTATTATCCTATTATGGTAGATATTGTATAGATATTGTGATATCTCTTTATTTTGTTGAATTAGTTTTTACATATTTTACACAGTTGTCAAATAAAATTCACAACAAAAGCACAACACAAGGTATATATAACTACTTCTCTGATATTTATGCCTCGTGAGCATACGAGAAAATGTCCCAAAAAATTACAAACTTGAAAAAAGTCGCGTTTTCACAGCTTTCCAGGTCAGATCGCAGAACCTTGGCATTAGTTTTGAACATCCTCAAAACAAACGCCGTGACTCAAAAATGATTGGCGACCATGGAGATCACAGCACGATATCTGGAGTTTTCACCCCACTTTTACATTGCTTATGGCGATCTTGATGTGCTCTGAGACCATTTTCCGTCGCCATAGCAGTGCAGTAAGGATGCCACCCCGGTCTGATAGGGGGTATAAAGGACAATATCAAATCAATCTTTTCATAATATAAACAATTTATAAATATTCTGACTTGTTTCACCCATAAAAGATCGGAATTAAAATCTATCTGTCCATGTAACTGGGAGAGAGAGAGAGAGAAATGGAGTTTAACGTCCACTCGTCGACACAAACTAGGTCATTTTGGGACTAACATATAGTTCAATTTTATTTCAATCATTCGCTTGCGTGTAGGGTTCTTTAGCACTGGGAGAAAACCGAAGAAAAACCACGAGGTAGGACAAGCGACCCTACTCCTTGTCATGTACAACCGGGGAGTTGAAACCACACCAGTTGACTCAATGACAGACTTTATGATACAGCGCGCGCACATGCTAACCATTCGGCCATCCAACCCCTCCCATAAGTTCAGAGAACTACCGGTAGTTATATCCATATATACCATGTGTTATTTTTGTTATGGACAAATTAAAATATCATATTTCACTAGTTGTAATAATAAAACACTAAATAACAAATATCAAAATATCTCTTAAAATATCTTCAAAACAACATTCAAATTTTAATATTAAAAAGCATGACTCAAATTCAAACATTTATATGATCACTATCATACCCTTTTTGTGACCAGACAAAAAAAAAATATAAAAAATTGCGTGTGTGTGTTAAGTCGTAATTTCTCAATTTCAACAATTCATGACTGTTTGTCTGATTTAATGATTTACAATGAAAATATTCGACATTCAGTCAAACAGCAATCTCAACTATATTTATGATAAAAGAAATATAACCTTAAAAAAAAAATCCTTTCACTTGATTAAACACCTAGCCTGTTAAACATACATTATGCAAGAGCTAAATCTGCCTATTGCAGGTATTTCTTTAGGCCTGAAATGTTATCTAAATTATTAATAAGACATTAATTAACCTATCCAGACCATAATCAATTTTCGATGGCATCGGATTTCTCCGATATTAAATAGATTAGAACAGGTCAGCCCCATTTTGATTTAAGCTAATAATGTCAAACCTTCAAAGGCTAATATTTTCGCTCGGAATAAGGTAATTTGAATACATTTTTCAAATTATTTTCCATTATCTATTTTCGAACTATTATAGCAAGAATGGCTAGCTCTTTATCTAAATCTTACATAATGTATCTTTAAATGACAACTGCGTTGTGTGTATTTCAACCAAAGTAAACAGAAACCTTTTTAACATTAAGTCTCGTATCATGAATCATGATGAAGTAATTACTGTAGAAGAAGAAAGGACATGCTGAATGTCGTTAAAGATAAAGTCACGAAGGCCAGGCACAACACAATATTCATAAAACAACTTTTGTCTAAAATGAAAAACGTACGAACATGTTCGGGATTTAATTTTTAAAATGAAAAACTTAAAATCATCATTCTTTAATCCAATCCTCATGAATTCAGCTAGATCTAAATGTTAAGGTCACCTGCAGATTTCATCAAGGTCACAAAGATGTAATTAGGGTTAGGGGCACTGATTGTTGACGAGATTGTGGGTTAGGGTTAGGGTAACTGCTACGACTAAGTCTCGGGGTAGGGTTATCGGTAGGTGAGGGTCCTTACCGATCCCTCCACAGAAAGCACGGGTCGTAGGTCTAATGTTTCCTAACCCTTACAGGAGTCAAACCCATAACAGCACCCATTCGCCTCGAGGTTGCCAGTCCTGCGCTTTACCAGTAAGCTATCGCACAACCAGGGCTAGAGTTAGCATGTTTACACCTCGTGACCTTTGACCAAATCTGCACGTGGCCTTAATAATTAGATCTAAACCATAATTTTATCAAGTCTTTTTGTTTACCAGTCATTTTTACAATGAGAAATGCAAATGAAAAAAAAAAAGAAAAAACGTCATATGTAGAAATTTGAAGATTCTGACCCGGGTGAAGTGAAAGGAGGGAATCAACTTTCATAATTAATTAACCGCCACTCAGATATTTTTGTTGTGAGTAAATTAATAAAAATATGAGAACGATGAGTCTATCCAGTTTATTCCTCTTGTTTAAATCTGTCTGCTCTCATGGGCGATCAGTCTTGATAATCCAATCTCTAGCTCACAGACTTGACATGTGATTATCCAGGCTTTTGTGATATGTGATATTAAACAAATTGAAGATAATAATAATAATAATAATATAATAGTAATGGAAACAGGAAAATTTCTGACAAACTTCACAAGGTCATTTGAAGAGTCCAGGGGAAGAACGATCTAAGTCACATTTTTGTCTTTTCGCTAAACGGCAAAACAGACTTTTGGACGAGAACAGAACAATGAATGGGTTTTATTACAACTTCAAAATGATGTTTAATACGAATCATAATTACCAGTACAACTGACTTCAACTTTTCAGGCAAATTAGGGTTAATAAAGGGTACGATGGACTTGTATTTGTCCAGGAGGCCATTTCATCAGGGCCTTGGTTCGATGTGACTCCGATCGTTTTTACCTGAAATTGATTGTTCCACAGAAAGCTTAAACAATTTGCTACCAGATGGCGCCATTAACTGGGGTTCGTTGAAAAAGTGACTAAGATTGTCCTGCCCCGGGACTCTTCATTTGTTAAAGATATACCAAGTGATAACGAAGTAAAACATGGAAGCTACAGCAGACGACAGAGTTGTTGATGTCAACAACCCTTGCCATTGCAAGAAGGAGTCAGGACTCCACTTACGGCAGACAACAGAATCAATTGTCCGGCTGGGAGCGGAGATCTATAGGCAATTTCTATCTATGTCTAACCTAGAAGTTTACGACAGAAGGCGTTGAAAATTTATAATATGACGTCTGTTTCTGATCCCAAACTCTGCCAAGGTATAAAGAGTCTGGACACCACCAAAAGCTTGTTTTACCAGTCATTCACCAAGCGATCACATGGACCAGTTATTAGTCAACAGAAACATTATACGCCAACACCTGATTGGTCAATATATCCTTGGCGAATTTTGACTTCCTGAACTAGCCTGACAACCGATTCTACCATGGGTAGAAATTTGACGATGTTGGACATGTCACTTTGGGGAAACAGGACATGTCAGCCGTCTGTTATTTCCCGGAGAAGAGAAAATATTTTAGACCAGGGTTTAGTCTTGTTAGTCTGCTAGGATGTTAAAGATGAGAGTACATTTGCCGAAACGTCGCTAGTCAATATAAATGTCTAATTACCGATTAATTACTAAAATGACACCAATTATATACTTCTAACTTTGGTCAAATCTGTAAGTTGTCTGTTGAATGCCTGGATGTAATAGACTACCGATAATGAACTCAAAATTAAAATGCTCATTCAGGATGCCAATATCACACAGTTTTCGATTGGATATCAAAAATCACAGTCGCAGAACCAACCAATGAAATCTTTTGTTTTATGAGAACGACAAATGTCGACAATCGTCGAGTCTGTTAATCCAGAAGAGAGCAGGCAATTTTAGAGAAAATCTTTCACCGATTTTTAATCCCGTAGTCTTGGGTGTCAGGTGACGTTAAAAGCTATTAAACCTGCTCTTCGACGTCCACTTCGAACTGATCCTGCTCATCCGGTTTCTGAACCCAGACGCCGAGACCCGCCTGTTGGAATGCTTTAATCATGTTCATTTTGGCCGTCTGATAATCAGTGACCATTTTTTTCGCATCTGAATAACATTTGGCTTGAGCATCTCCACTCTGGACATAATATGACGGAAGTTTTCCATAAAGTTTAAGAAACTGCTTGAATAGCGAAGCTTTGCACACTTTAGGGGGTTCGACACTTTCTGTTTTTCCGGTCGTTGCGTTGACGACTTCTAATTCTGGGTCTCCCACACACCAGCTGATGCTGAAGCTTGGGGCCTTTCCCGGTAAACGACTTTCCGGGTTGCTGATGCCACTCAGGAAAGGTCTGTTGAGACGGAAAGGCAAGTCGAGGTTGGTAATGGTGCCGATACGACTGTAGACAGCGCGAGAAAGATGGTCGCTATGATACAAACTACCCAATATTATACTATCCAGATAGATCGGCTTTACAAAATGGCTGACCAGGGAACCTGAAACGATAATAAAAATAGCGGATATTAGAAATGTGGCATTTCAAACATGGAGGAATTAACCTAAAGGAGGTCTGCTGCTCAACCCAATACTCAGACAAACATTGTAATTCATTAATCTTTTTTTTTTCATTTTGAGTGAAAGATGGTCGCTATGATACAAACTATCTGTCCGGCACCGTACAACGTAGTGGACGCCTAAAACGGCGGCCACATCTTATGGTCAGGCACATAGTTGACCGTAGTTATAAACATAGTTTGAACATCAAAAAACCCCATGATTTGACTGTGGTTAGACCAAAAATTTTTCAATATGTTCAAAATATCTCTACGGGGATCTTGGTTGCCTATACCCTACTGTGACCGTAATTTCAACGTAGTGGACCCTAGGTGACCGTAATTGACCCTAGTGTTTACCGTAATTGACCTTGGTAACATGGCACTACTCTTAACACTACATTGTAAATCAACCTAGCTGACCTTAGTGGGACAACTGTGAACTGTGTTCAAATGAACTAAGTGCGTGAACGTAACATGTGACCGCGGGGTAAGAGCATGTCAATGCCTTATAGATGGGCCGCGGTTTTCCATCCTATCGCTATGACTACAGAACACTGTAGACACCAAACATGTACATTGGGGTGGCCTTAGATTATTCTAAAATTCAACAATTAGATAACAACAGTATTCACAATCCTGTCAGTTCCATAAAAACATACAGTTATAAAGGCTAAAGGTTAAAGATTACTGAAAGAGATATATTCAACAAACTGCTGACCTTTCATTCTTTTATTTTTATTACCTCTGTGTAATTATTAAAGATACATTATGTAAAAGATAAATACAGGTCTCATGAGAGGGGAGTGCAGCCGGTGTACACCGCCCCAAGGCCCATAAGTGTCTATGGGGCCCAGGAATATCAAAGTAAAAAATTGAAATGTGCAATTATGCATAAATTTTTTATTGTTCCTTTGATGCTTATATGAAGCTTATATAAGTATGTACAAAAGTTTTCGCTTTACCGCAATCTGCTAGTCAATCATCTAGATTGAAAAGGACCAAATTACAAGGAATATTTACCAAAATATTACAAAGAACAGGCCCCAAGTTTACAAAGAGAGAGAGAGAGAGAGAGAAATAGGGTTTAACATCTGGACACAAACTAGGTCATTTTGGGACTAATATATGGTTCAATTTTATTTCAATAATTCACTGGAGTGAAGGGGTCTTTAGGTTGGACAAGCGACCCTACTCCTTGTCACGTACAACCAGGGAATCAAAACCATGTCAGTTGACTCAATGACAGGCCTCATGATACAGCGCACACGTGCCAACCATTCATCCTTTGATGTTGGCGTACCATCATTTTAAATAATTGTACGAACAATGTGCCAAGCGTACATTATTATACTAGTTGAAATTTTGGACCCGTGTGACATATTTCATTGCAAAGCACGTGTGAGTCTCTGTATTTTTAGTTGTTTAATGGTCTCGAGCTTAAGACATATTGCGTAATATATTGAATCATCAACACCCTGTGTTGTTTCAATATATTACTTAATGTCTCGCTCGAGACCATTAAACCACACTTAAATTTGTTTATATGGGCTATTGGCTAATAATCTTCCATTTACAAATTCAATTTGTTAAAAGTTTTTTTATGAAGTATTGATGAATTAGCGTAAAATTAAAACTCCATCATTCTCTTGAGGCGTGAGTTTGTTTTCATAAGATGTGCAACAAAAAGTCAGAAATGAAAAATTAAATATTAATGGGAACAGACCACTGAGTGAATTAAAAATTGTCACCGGAATCCATCTTGGTGTCGAACAATTTAAATAATTGATAACGGTGAGGCGGATAACAATACACTAGATCAGATTGTCAATTCCATAGGGAGGAAAATGGTGTCGCGAATAAACTTTAATTATAGCCTACCCACAAACCCATTCACTCCAGCAATTCATCATGTCTTCTATAAAATTCCATTAGTCATCCGTTAGACGACCCTTTACACCCCAGGTGCCAAATATTATCTGTATCCCGTGAAATTTATGATATCATTTCAAAAGATTAAAATAAAGATGCATTATCTAAGATTTAGATAAAAAAAACTGGATGTTCTCGCTATTAATAGTTTAAAGGTAGATAATCAAAAGGGAATATGTTGAAAATTTCAGTCAAATTACTTTATTCTAAACAAAGTTATTAATGCTGTAGTTTTGATAAGAATAGCGTAGTCTCGATTTTCATTGCTACCATTGTTACGATAATAAACAAGCAATTATCTCTTTAAATTAAAATTGAATCATTAAATGGCGATCATGTGTCAATCCATTAAAAATCACGACCACCCATCCTACTGTTCTGCTCCTATACTGAAGCATAGGTCATACAGTGTGCTATGTGGGAAATTTTGCCCGAGCAGTGGCACTATGGCCTACTCTTATATTGAATTCCAATAGCCAAGGGTTCTTTTACGAGCACGCAAATGTATACACGGGACCTCAGTTTTTCGTCAAAGTTTCATGAGCATATGTGTTTAAATGCTGCATAAAGATGGAAAAGTTTCAGCAAAATCTACCCAACCCCAACTAAAACCAAAATACTAATTAGGCCAGTGGCTTACCAAGAGTTTGCAGCTTCTGGGGTCAAATTCACTTTGGTCATATAAAATATATTACAGCAGCAAGTAGGGTAATTTGTTAAATTATATTACCTTGAATTCCGAGTACATTCCACCTGGCTATTTTATCGCTACAGGACATCGTTAACAACCTTTCACCTTGTAACACACCATCCCACGTCTGGGTTGTACCATCATTACTAACTGGTATAGTTCCCTCCCCTGATTCAATCTTCGTTCTAAGTTGACCTCGAGCCTTACGATTCGGATGACGATCGCCGGCTTTCATCTCCGTTTCATGAGGTGAGAAAATGCGTGCATCGCCGCATGGAGCAGTGTTGATGTACAGATGAAATTTTATATTTTCCTTCAGTTGAAATCCTCGATCGCCATTTTGTTCGAAAATGGAAGATTCCGATGTTTTGTTGTCAAGGTGAAGTTGTAGTTGAGCATAGAAATATCGTAACAACGAACGTCGAGCAATAATTTCTGCGTGACAGTCGTTTAACGAGAGTCCTTGTCCACTCATATATTCTCCATTAATACATTTGGTTCCCGTAGCAACACTTATAACTTCCGGAGAGTTATCTACCCTTGTCATCACAAAACCTGCGAGAACTTTTCGTCTGGCATATCGACTCGTGAACCCGTCTGTTAGTTCTCCAAACTTATCTATCACCATGGCAGCAACCGTATCGGCAAGTTGAGCAGAAACAGGATTATCCCCATCTTGTACAACTGGTTCCGTTCCTGAAGAGGAAAAAAGAAGACAAAGAACATGAATAAACTAGTACGATGATAGTACATGGAACAAGAACCATCTGAGATTTAAGACTTCACATCAAAAATCGAGGTCCTTAATAGAGAGAGGGGGGGAGGGTGTAACATCTATTGACACAAGCTAGTTTGATTTTATTTCATTAATTCGCTAGAGCGTAGGGGTCTTTAGCAGTGGGAGGAAACTGGAGAACTCGGGAGAAAACCCACGCGGTTGGACAGGCAACCCTACCCCTTGTCACGTACAGGTGGGAAATCGAAACCACGCCAGTTAACTCAATGACAGACCCTGTAGATGTACAACTGTCCAAAGAACACACATGTCAAGTTTCAGGTTGATAAACTGAAATTGACAAGAGCCCTGGGGCTTTATTTAGTGTCAACCCCAAGAAGAACAAGATGATTATTAAGTATATATGCAACCATTTCGGTTGAAGTAGAAAAGTAGGACGCTAAACCATATTTCATTTCATTTCATTTCTAAAGATTTGTTAAGATTACCTAAATTTGCCCTTTAAAAATCTCGCTACAGGGCTAGCAACTTCATTTGAACAATTCCAAACAAACCCCACACTTGTAACATATGAGTACCTAACAAATTCACCCTTTAAATATGTTTCAACCTAGTACATGGGGGCTAGAAAATTCATTTGAAATGAAATGAAATGAAATGGGAGTTTAACGTCTTACTGTTTTGCTCCGAACTGGGCTAATGAAGACAGGCATACGCCATACAGTGTGCTATGAGGGAAATTTTGCCCGGACAGCGGCACTACGGCCTACTCTTATATCGAATTTCAACTGTCAAGGGATCTTTTACGTGCACGTCAATGTGTACTCGGGACCTCGGTTTTTCGTCTCGTCAAAATGACTAGACAGCTGTCCTTGTCAGGCCCTCCACCTGCATCACTGACAAGGGAGAACCACGGTGGAAAATCTGGGTGAACTTTCTCAGCCAATGCAAAATTCGAAGACGACTAAATGTTTTTTTTACTCCAAACAGCAGACAGAAGTGACAACAAAAGCCCTTCAAGACGAACGGTTGATAAAATTACGATCATATTAAGGTTTTTCTTTCTTTTACTTATCGTATTGTATATGGCAGACGACATCAATATTTATTCCTACCATAAGAACAATGAACAAGGAAGGCCAAGGATCTACGACTAAGTCTAAAACCATTCACAGCAGACAAAAGGAGAATATCAATCCCGATAAATTGAAAATGCGGGCTGAGAAATAATACATAAGCTGTGATAAAATTATATATTTGGTATTTTCATAAAATCTTTTTTTAATTAACGAAAATGGAAATTCCTTTCAGTAATTTATTCTAACAAAAACAGAATTACTTTTACCAGAGAAATGAAATTAAATGGGGTTTAACGTCCTATTGTTATGCTCCGCGACTGAGCGAATGAAGACAGGGTTTAGCGAAAAGAAATGGGGTTCAACATCCACTTGACAAAAACTAGGTCATTTCGGGATTAACATATGGTTCAATTGTTTTTTAGCAGTGGGAGGAAACCGGAGGGGCCAGAGAAAACCTGTGAGGTTGGACAGGCGACTTTACTCCTTGTCACGTACAAGGGGGGAATCAAAACCACAAGGAGTAGAGTGGCCTGTCCAACCTCATGGGTTTTCTCCGGGTCCCCCTGTTTCCTTCCACCTCTCTCTCATTAAAAGACACTACTTCAGTATTATAATATCCTGCCACTTGGAATGAAATTCATATTAATCTCCTTCTCTGTCTCTTTCTCTGTCTCTCTCTCTCTGTCTCTCTCTCTCTCTCTCATTTTTAAATATCCATTCATTATAAAACCCAGATCAATAAAACAAATCACATAAAATGTTCAATATGTTCAAATATCAATCTCATCAAATTCATTACATCGGGAAAACGACCCTGATTCAATCGAAAATTTAATCAACAATATTGCATCCTTTGCTTGTAATTATGGGAAACATTCTCACAGATACCCATATATGGTCATGGTAGTGATATTCAAATATAACTTGATTTAAATGAAAATTTGAAATTGTCGGTTGGTTCTCGGGATGTAATTACCACAACGCAAGGATATTAGGAAGATTAAATGTGAAATGTGAAATTGATAAAATTGGTTTTATATATCAAGTCTTCTTGTGTAGATTGTGTAAAAAAGGCTGATAATAAATCAATTCGCCTTAAATTGCATATTTGAAGATGCATTACGTAAGAGCTAAATCTTCCTACTGTAGGTTTTTTTTTTTTGGCTTCAAATGTTATCTAAATCATTATTTAAAGATACATTATGGGAGATTAGATAAAAAGCTGACAGTTCTCACTATAATAGTTAAAAACTAGATAATGTAAAGGCAATTTTCTGAAAATTTCAGTCAAATTGATCCACTCTGAATCAAGAATTTAACATTTGAATTTTCGGCCTAGACTCTATCATCATTACTAAAGTCGGTACGATAAAAACAGAGTCTCAATTATCCATTTCATGATTAAATCATTACTGAGAGTTGAGCAGCAAATCGGATCCTAATCCAGTAAATATCGCAGGCTAACGATGACATCGAGAGTTGATTATGGTCTAGATAAGGTAGTTAATGTCTAATTAAAATAATTTATATAACATTTCAGGCCTAATAAAGACCTGAAATAGACAGATTTAGCTCTTGTCAAATGTTCTTGTCAGTGGTGCTGGACCGAGAGCCTGATAAAGGACAACGTATAGTTTAAAACCCACTCACTTATTTCGGGACTAACACATGGTTCAATTTTATTTCAACAATGCGCTTGCACGTAGGGTTCTTTAGCAGTGGGAGGAAAGCGGAGGACCCAGAGAAAAAGCACGAGACTGGACAGGCGACCCTAATCCTTGTCACGTACAACCGGGGAATTGAAACCAAGCCAGTTGACTCAATGACAGACCGAATGATGATATTTTCGAGATTCAGAAAGAAAGAGAGAGAGAGAGAAATGGGGTTTAACGTCCACTCAACACAAACTAGGTCATTTCGGGACTAACATATGGTTTAATTTTATTTCAATAATTCGCTTGCGCGTAGGGGTCTTTAGCAGTGGGAGGAAACCGGATTTCGAGATTCAACTTTCACGATATTTAGCAAGAGATTCTATAGCGTTACAATCATGCATAGCGTCTATAATTTGGGTTGATCAAGGTTTTTTGTAGCAAACATTGACCGTGGTGTATCTATAGAACAGGCAGACGTACCTCTAATAGGTGATTAATATCTATGAATTAGTCTATCTTTACTCAGACGATGGTGTTAACGATAAATTGTTCAAACAGACGTAAACTCCTCGCAATCATTGCTAACCTGATCAATAGAATACATTCAATAGCAGACGCCAGACTCATTTTTTTCTCTTGAAAGGGTTTTACATTTGCAACGAGACATGGTGGCAATTTGTTCAGAAGCTAACAAAAGGAGGAGGAGTGATTACTCCCCCCCCCCCACCGCCATTCCCTCGGAACAGGTCTTGTTTTATTCTCTTGAACAGTTTACGTTTGTAACGAGACGTGCGACCATTTGTATTAAGCTAACAAAAGAGTGGTTAGCGCGTGCGTGTTGTATCATAAGGTCTGTCATTGAGTCGATCAACTGGCGTGCTTTCGATTCCCTGTTGTACATGATAAAGACCCCTACACGCAAGTGAATTATTGAAATAAAACTGAACCATGTTAGTCCCGAAACAACCTTGTTTGTATCGAGTGGACGTTAAACCTCATTTCTCTCTCGTTCCCTTTACTATCTCTGATTGTCATTCAAGGGATCTCTTGAGAAATTGTTAATCCCCTGCCATCTACTAATTGTGAAAATTGAATCTGTAAAATGAATATTAGTCCAATAATGTTTCAGTTTCTTTAAGTATTTACAATGTTATGATTACTTGAAAATTTGTCAACATTCGGCATCCACAGAGCTAAATTTGCCTATTGCAGGTCTTTCTTTAGGCCTGAAATGTTATCTAAATCATTAATTAGATATTATTTAACTTATCCAGACCATAATCAACTCGTGATGCCATCGTTAGCCTGCAATATTTAGCCGATTGGAATACATTTTTTAAAATATAATTAAACGTAAAAATGGATAATTGAGACTTTGTTTTTTATCGTACAGACTTTAGTAATAATCATTGAGGCTAGCCTAAAATTCAAAAGCTAATATCTCGGTTCAGAGTGGATCAATTTGACTGAAATTTTCAGCAAATTACCTTTACATTATCTATTTTTGAATAGGTGGTGAGAGTAGAATCATGATAAAACACAACCAATATGTTTCAAATATCATGGTTGGTAGAGATATTTTATTCAGTCGACGCATGCGTTGTAGCAAAAAATCCTCCTTTTCACTCAATTGTCACTATTTATGGGATTGAGAGAATTCAATTCCGGTTGTGGAGCCACAGTGGCTAAGCGGGTAAAATGCTGGTGTGTTCGATCCATGCATTGGCCGAGAAAGTTCATATATATATATATATATACATGTATATATATATAAAAAATAAAAATAACTTAAATTGTTATTACAGACGTTAGTGTCTTCATGAAATATTTACAGACACCGTAATTAACCAAACCCATTTTGATTCCACTCTGGCAGCGGACATGCCAATACAAGACAAATGGCATGCTGATTTCATCTGTTTTAGTCCGCTCTCGCAATGGTGGCATTTACGTCAATACACCAAAGAAAAAAAAGTGATTCTTTAATTAGAATTCATGAATAAATTCAACCGTCTGCACCAGACATATCTGTCAAGGGATCCATATCAAATTACTTCACTGTGAGATAAAAAAAAACTAACCTAATATGACGAACTCAATTTTCTGGTCAAATTCAATTTTCATCGATTGTATTTTCTACGAATTCAACAAGTCGTATGTGTAACACGATGTATTTGGTTTATTCTTTTTTTAAAATGTTATTTCTTCAAATTGTGTTAAACAAGAAAGAGTTTGTCGACTGAAATCTTGTGGATTGAGTATTGATCTTTTTCAATGTTCGTTTTGGGGGTTTTATTTCTTCAAATTGTGTAAATCACGAAAGAGAGGATTGATGATATAAAATTATTAAAGCAGAGTTCCAGCAATCTAATGTTATTAGTCTGTCTGGCCTGACAAGGACAACTGTCTAGCTGTTCGGATGGTACAAAAAACCGAGGTCATGTGAATACATTAGCATGCATGTAAAAGATCCCTTGGCAGTTGGAATTCGATATAAGAGTAGGGCATAGTGCCACTGCCCTGGCAAAATTTCCCTCAAATAGCACACTGTATGTCGTATGCCCGTCTTCATTAGCCTGTCTGTCATTAATTCGGTTGTACGTGACAAGGAGTAGGGTCACCTGTCCAACCACGTGGGTTTTCTCCTGGTCCTCCGGTTTCCTCCCACAGCTAAAGACCCCTACGCACAAGTGAATTATTGAAATAAAATTGAACCATGTGTTAGTCCTGAAATGACCTGGTTTGTGTCGAGTGAATGTTAAACCCCATCTCTCTCTCTCTCTCTCTCTCTCTCTCTCTGTCATTAGTTATGGGTTTGTGTGGTCTTGATCATAAGTCAAATGGTGTGATTTCGATTCCCGCATGTACGTGACAAGTGTAGGATCGCCTGTTCAAAATCATGGGTATTGTCCGTTTCACAGGTACATGAGGACAGGAAGGCCCTTCTTATGGTGCATCTGTGACCTATGACTATGTACTAATAGTACTACTACTAATTAATATGTGATTTTTTCAAAATTTTTGATTTTTTTTTTTTTTTCCCTACTCTTCAATTTTTTTTAATCTTCTGTATTTTTCTTCCTATTTGTTGCTAAATCATATAATATTTACTATCAAACATGATCGTATTAAAAAAAATACCTTCTGATGTATACTAAAAGAGAAAGGTAAGACACTTTTCGGTTGACATAGGTGCACCATAGCGGCATAGGCATAAGAAAGGCGCTCCTGCCCTCGTGTACCTGTGGTCCGTTTCCCCTGATTTCCACCCACTGCAAAAAACCCACAAGGGTATTATTGAAATAAAATTGAATCATACTTGAATCCTGAAATGACGTAGATTGTGTTGAGAGGACGTTACCTCTTGCTCTCTAGTTTATGAGACAGTTCATTGAGTGACTGTAGCACTATTCGATCTTTAAGTTTCACGTTGCCTTCTCTTCCGTGACTAAAACTATAAATACAGTTTAGGTTCTTTTTCTATCTTTTATCGTATAAAAGCTTGTCGCATTAGTCATAAATCTTCCTCGTTCTCAAATAAGTATATGGCACATATGACAGGCGGTGTGAGTTCTGCCGAATGATATTCCCTAACTCTCTTTTATAGTGCCCACACCCCATTTGGTTTACGTCATAAACTGACCACAGTCCTAGATTCCAAATATGGAATATACATACCCCATACCTTGCACTCTAGGAGGGACTTATTACGAAATTTGGTCAACAGACACATTCAATAAAAGATGGCACATGACAAATGTGTTATTTAATTTACTGACCACTGTTCAAAAATTAATCATTATACATCAATAATCAATTGGGTTGTTTATTTTGGAACAGTGATCGAGAAATTAAATGCCTGTAAATTGGACGCTCATTATCAAAATTGAATAGTCAGCTTTAAACTAGACACAAGTACAAATTAGATGATTTTAAACGATTTTTACGAATTTTAAACAATGATTTGATATCTAAAGATGGGTTCCCAGAAAAGTATTTATCGGGTAGTTATTTCCAATAAAAGTATGACAATTTTAGTATATATGGAAAGTAGAGATATCCAATCTTACTAGAAAAATACTGGATTCCCCGAAAAACACTCATGGAGCGTATACAGGGCAAAAATGTAAGGGTTCCCCTAATCAACAGCCCGACGATTAGGAATTTCTGCAGTGCAAGTGTGATGTCAAAGGTCACACGCGAACATTGAGCGCTTGATGTACAAGTTGATAAACTTTATGAAGAGTTAGACGTACAACACTTTCTGAGATAAAAATGACGGAAAAAGACGCGGGTAGTGGATAATCTGAGAATTTAATTATGATTCGATATTTGTAATAAATAGTAAGCGATTAAAGACAACATCGTCTTATGTATGCAAAGAGAGGTAAGTCACGTGACGTAATCATGACCTGGTTTGATCAATTTTTTATAGCAGGGCATTCCTTCGCAATTACAATGTTTGAGAAGGATTTGAAGCAAAATTATGGCAAATTAATTAGTTTGAATATTTTTTTAGTCCATATATACTGTACCATTAAATCACCCAGTTTGTACGAGGGAATGTATCTTTAATGATTATTAAATAAATAAGTGCTCAATACACAAGATTAAATAATACCAGAGTTACAGTGTAACAAAGCAACTATTGCAGATTATAGATCTAAAAAATAACTTACCGGGTGTGCCCTGAAAATCCATGTTAAATATTTTCTTGAGAGCTGCTTGAGCGGCCCGAGCCTTGGCTAGTTTCTTATTTCGGCCTGATCCACAAAATACTTCGTTATCCACAGTCACGGACATAGCAAAAGTCTTTGACGAACTTTCCCCACTTTCAGACACAAATTCGTATTTTAATTCAGGTCGCAGTTCGTTTAATATCATGACTGGATTTTTACCCGTTGGTTTCGATGGAATGGATTTCCGGGCGGGAGGTAGATTTTGGACTCCGTTTTCTGGGTTCTGTTCCATATTCTCATCTGCACCATTACTTCCGTTTTTATGTCCCTCAAAATCGTTAAATAAATTAACCAATGGCTCAGCCTGATCGGAAGTAAAATCAGTTGTGACTATTTGTCGACCCATGGCCATATGAGCTTCGGACGCGTTCGGGAATTGGACGAATGATGTCAGTGCTTTTTCAGCGGCCAGAAGTTTGGCCATTTTCTTCGTTTGACCAGCTCCTTCAAACTTCGTATTATTGACCTCTACGGACATCGTGAAAGTTGGAGCATGAACAGGACCAGTTTGCGATACGAACTGAAATTCAAGACCCGGTTTTATCTCATTCAGCTGCATCAAAGCATTCTTGGGTCGCACAGGACCTTGAAGTTTACGTTTCTTCCCATGAGCACCCACTTTTTCTCCTTTCCGTTTTCCCAACATTGTTCCGTCTGCGTTGTGAGTTAATCCGTCTGATGCTTTTATTCCGACGTCTGTTAATGATTCGTCATCTGAAACGATACAACAATTAAATTTTTAATGACAACAAAACGTTAGCAGGAATTATTGATCAATTGTTACTACCGGTAAGTCTGCCTGACTACCGGTAAGTCTGCCTGTCCAATCCTGAAATAGAACAATACGATACAGATGTAAATTCATGTATTAAAAGTCGTTTTGCAAACAGCCGTTTGCCAACACAGCTACAGGGTGGGTGTGCATAACTCAGAACACTTAAAATTCCAGAGAGAGAGAAAGGGAGAAATGGGGTTTAACGTCCACTCGACACAAACTAGGTCATTTCGGGACTAACATATGGTTTAATTTTATTTCAATAATTCACTTGGGCATAGGGGTCTTTAGCAGTGGGAGGAAACCGGAGGACCCGGAGAAAACCCACGAGGTTGGACAGGCGACCCTACTCCTTGTCACGTACAACCGGGGATTCGAAACCACGGCAGTCGACTCAATGACAGACTTTATGATACAGCGCGCGCACGCTAACCATTCAGCCAACCAACCCCCCCCACATAAAATTCCAGGAGTTTTCCAGGAGTTATTTACCAGATTCCAGGAGTCTCTGTATAGAATTCTACATCATAATGTATCACTTTCACACTTGAAGAACATTTACGGCAACGAACTCGTGAACTTTTGAAGAAACATTCGATGACTACCTTCAGTTTTGTATCTTAAATTATATAGCGAAACAATAAATGTTAATTTTCCAGGAGTTTCAAAGAGTAATCTTGTTTTTCCAGGATTTTCCAGAAATGGAAATCACATTTTCATTTTTCCAGGGGTTTCAAGAAGTGTGCGAACCTTGAGCTACTTTTCTTTGAATTACATCTTGACCACTTTATAACAAAATCCAAGACTATGACGAATTAATTCCTTATTGAAAGTACTGTCGATGGGTGGAAGAATTCCAGGCAAGATCAGATCTCGGTGATACGGTTGGGGACGGAAAGTAAGCTAATAAAGTAAAGATAATATTCCCCAAGCAACAAACTTGACATTACCAGATATATATAGACAATGGAATTATTGAGTATGTGCAAAACATTACGGATTAATAAATAATTCCTACGCTGGGATTATAAAAATGATTTACATGTAGACAAATTTAGAATATCAATAATGTACATGAAATTTAAAGATACATTATGGGAGATTAGATAAAGACCTAGCAGTTCTCACTATAATAGTTAAAAACTAGATAACGTAATGGGAATTTGCTGAAAATTCAAGCCAAATTGATTTGCTGTGAACCGAGAATTAAGGCGATTGAATTTTAGGCCTAGCCTCAATCATCATTACTAAAGTCGGTACGATAAAAAAACATAGTCTCGATTATCCATTTTTTGATTTAATCATCGATGAGCGTTGAGCAGCAGATCTGATTCAAATCCAGTAAAGATCGCAGGCTAGCGCTGACAACGAGAGTTGATTATGGTCCGGATAAGTTAATAAATATCTAATTAATAATTTAGATAACATTTCAGGCCTAAAGAAAAATCTGCAATAGGCAAATTTAGCTCTGCACACATGCACACAAAAGACGCTGGTTTTTCATTCCATCCTAACGACAGACAAGTGAGAACCGGGCTAAAAATATATTAATTGAAGATTCGTAAAGATGTTTTTTAACCTAAGCTGGGTGGGATTTCCAATACAATAAAAGACTGTTTTCAAATCAAATAAATCAGAGAATGAGTCTAGAAATATTACTCTATTGATGTTATAATGTTGATATGAAATTTGATTTATCCCCCGCGATATATCAGTCTTAAATTAAATAACGGTTATTATAGATATCTTTAAAATATTACTTAAACAGGAAATATCTTTCATGTTGTTTATGCACTATTTAGATAAGAAATCATAACATGGCTCCGAGTACATCACCAATACATTTTGCTTTTTGGTTGTATTCTAATCTCCAGTTCCACAGCCCTGGCAAAATTAATCCAGTAGAGTCTAGTTCCACAGCTCTGGTAAAAGTAACCCCGATGTGAGTCTAGTTCCACAGCCCTGGCAAAATTAATCCAGATGTGAGTCTAGTTCCACAGCTCTGGTAAAATTAACCCAGATGTGAGTCTAGTTCCACAGCCCTGGCAAAATAAATCCAATTGTCAGTCTAGTTCCACAGCTCTGGCAAAATTAATCCAGATGTGAGTCTAGGTCCACAGCCCTGGCAAAAATAATCCAGTTGTTATAGTCTGGAGGCTCAGCGCGGGGGGTGTCCATCAAATGGGCACAAAACCAGACCCAACTTTTCTAGAGTAAAATTTTGCGTAGAATACGATGCCGATTTGTAATCAGGGGTTGGATGGCCGAATGGTTAGCACGTGTGCGCTGTATCATAAGGTCTGTCATTGAGTCAACTGACATGGTAGGATCGCCTGTCCAACCATGTGGATTTTCTCTGGGTCCTCTGGTTTCCTCTGACTGCTAAAGACCCCTACGCACAAGCGAATTATTGAAATAAAATTGAACCATGTCCGCAGGTTATTCTTGTCAGTTTTGTTTTGCGTGTAGTGTGTCCTGGCCCCAATACATGACGTATGACAGTTGGCCTGGCCCTACTACACGATGTATGACAGTTGGCCTGGCCCTACTACACGACGTATGACAGTTGGCCTGGCCCTACTACACTACGTATGATACAAGTGGTGGCTACCATTCTCATCATTGGCATACATCAGTAGAGAGACAGAGAGAGACAGGGGTTTAACGTCCACTTGATACAAACTAGGTCCTTTCGGGACCAACAAGTGTTAAAATTTTATTTGTATAATTCGCCTGCGTGTAGGGATCTTTAGCAGTGGGAGGAAACCGAAGGACAGATTTCGATTTTACATAATGTTTAACATAACTCTCCTTCCACTCACCTACACAGTACCCAACTGACCTAAACTAGTATTTTATAACAAAGATTTGGGGGGTTGGATGGCTGAATGGTTAGCGTGCGCGCGCTGTATCATAAAGTCTGTCATTGACAAGGAGTAGGGTCGCCTGTCCAACCTCCTGGGTTTTCTCCGGGTCCTCCGGTTTCCTCCCACTGCTAAAAAACCCTACGCGCAAGCGAATTATTGAAATAAAATTAAACCATATGTTAGTCCCGAAATGACCTAGTTTGTGTCGAGTGGACGTTAAACCCCATTTCTCTCTCTCTCTCTATAACAAAGATTGATTTTATATACTTGGCATATGAAAAGACCAACTCTCTTTATAGTACTGTTAATTTCTCTTCTTTTCTCTATTTGTAATTCATCTAGCTACCACAGTTGTATTTCTTCAATCAAAGTTGTTGAGGACGTTACAACAATAGATGACATGACATCACATTCCCCTTGTAGCTACAAACCTACTTCGTCCTCATCGTCATCGCATCACAAACATTCAATAAAATGACTAGAAGCTAGTTTTAGATCGGAGCGAGTCTCACCAACAATCTACGCTATATTTATGATTAATTAACTCCCAGACCTTGTGTCCAATCATTTCATCATTTTAAATCTGAAAGCTGTCCTCTTCCATCTTAAGATGTTGCAAACATTGTCACAGACTAATGATCCAATTAACTTTCTGCCAAGTCCAGATGATTCAAATTTTTATCTCGACTCTGATAAAAGAGTGGTGCCCTTGCTAGGACAGACAACACAGTAATTTACTCTTATAATTTTATAATATTTTCATTCAAGATAATATATAAGCTTGTCTCTATAGGAAATGTAGACTCAGAGTGGCACAGTGATTAAAGCGCTGCCTCACTAAACGAAATGAAATGAAATGGGGTTTAACGTCCAACTGTTCCACTCCGATTGGGCTAATTAAGACCTTACAGTGTGCCATGAGGGAAATTCTGCCTGGATAGCGGCGCCTACTTGTATATTGCATTCCAACTGCCAATGGACCTCATTTTTTTTTCACATCCTTTGTCAGGCCCCCTACCCCCATCCCACTGACAAGGGGAAAAACACGCCGGAAAATCCTGATGAACGTTCTCGGTCAACACGGGGATCAAACCCATGACCTCCAGGCTAGGGAGCCAGCGTCTTACTCACTTAGTCACCATGGCTACCCCTCACTAAACAAGACATCCTAGGTTTGATTCTGGTGTTGTGCTAGAAAGTCTGAGATTTTTCAGAGTGACTTCAGGACAGGTGTACTTTCAGTATATATTTTAGTCAAATGAGATAGAGCAACAAATATTAAAGTGGCCTCCGATGTGTGGAGTGCACAAAGATCCAATCCTAAGCATAAATATTTAAAATAAAGAATATCACCATAAAAACTGATCAAACAGTGAGAGGAAGTAGTCTTGGATTTCCAGAGTACGAATAATCATAAATATTTTAAACAAAGAATTTCAACTGATATATATTTCAAAAGTGAACAAAAGTGGTCTTGGATTTTCAGAATACAAACGTCCAGCTCTTTACAGAAATATTTCAAACACAAAATGAATCAAATCAACCAACAATTAAACAGAATTCTTTTGGATGTTCAGGGCTCAAATAATCGTGCCCATTCCATAAAATAATCATAAATATTTATAGTAAAAGAATTACGAACATATCAACACCGAAAAAAAAGTTGATCTCGGAAGTTCAGGGCATAAACATCCAAACTCAATGCATAAAATAACCATAACAATAATCTAGTAAAAGTCCAACAGATTTACTCAAACTTGGTATTCATAACCAATAACAATCAGTCAGATATTGATAATGGCTTATTGACAGGCGACTGTCGTCTGCTAGTGCCCATCTGCTGTAGAACCAATAAACCGCGACCATAAAACTCAGTCACAAGTATAATATTTACAAAGTAATGTGACAGATCTAATAATCAGTTTCATTCAGCCGCGAGAATACCGATAGGAGTCGTACCACTTGCTCCAGTAATTCTGTTAGTCACAAACGTGTCAATCTCTCGAGACGGACATTCTATAACCAAATGTAATTATTTCTCGTATTCACCAGAAGTGCTTCCCCCTGGTGAG